GTAACACTTCACGTCCCTGTACTTATGTGAGCAAAGCCGTTTGGAAGTACTTAACTGGACATCATTTGGGAGGTCATATATAAGCTAACCAGCACATATGACTATGAAAAAAATGTCGATTTGTGTGTTAGCATAATTTCCCAACACGTAGTGCAACCTTTTAGAGTTCAAAAATATAGTTCCTCAACAAATTAGATCTGTAAAAGTGGTCAGCTAGTCATTGTTGTGGGATGTATAACCATGGTAATTAGTGAAATGTCAGAAATGGGTTTCAGATGGACGTTTGCCTATTAAGAAATGTTTTTCCGTTGTTTTCTTGCAAATATCAGGATTCCAATGCAAGATAAAATAAACCAAATATATTTTAATAAACTTACAAAGACTGTGACCAAAGGACACTGCAGGGAAAAGCAGGATAAAGCCAACAAAAAAAATGATAATAATAATAAAAGGACAAACCAAAACTCAGGGGAATATGTAAGAATGAGGCAGGACACAACATGGCAAACAGCAGGATAAACAGAAAGTCAGACAAAGAGCAGAGGCAAAAATATATATTTGCTCAGGGGTGTGACGAGACACCAGTGGGAGGCTGTTTAGGGCAGGACAGCTCGGAGAGTAGCTGGCCCGTGCTTGTAGACAAATCCAACACTTTCATAGTGAACAAAGCCGTCACAAGGAGTATCTTCAATTTTTTTGCTGACTGGTTGAGAAGCACACGTTTTCCCCCCACAAACAGGTGGTTGCTAGGGGGTTACTGTAGGTCTGTGTGATTGGAGCTTTAGCGATCATTTTCTCTCCAGCAAGCACTAGCAACCAGCCAGGGAATGCTCATTTTTACCTCATGACCAGTTAGACCATCTAGGCCTCTGTGACTGGGCCTTATTCAGCTACAGTGGTCGGTAAAATAAATGACGTATACACAAGCCAAAGCAGCAAAAATACCACACACATATTTCCTCATCCTTGCCATTCTTTTGCTCTCCCGCCTTGTCTTTTTTTAAATCTTCCTCTATCTGTCGCTCTCTCAAACACACACAAAAACACACAAAGCCCTGCACCATGTTGATACCTGTCAAGCTGTCTCTAAGCTTCACTGCTGTAACTCTTTTTCTGATCCTTAGTCTTTGAAGTGTCATAGTGCAGATGATGATCATCAGGGGATTGTACTCACATCTTATTAGTGACATTTTGATTTGAGTGTCAGTGTATGTGTGTGTGCATGTGTCTGGTTTATGATCCTGTTTGCAGTCCTTCATGTTCAGACATACTTTTGAGGGTTAATGTTGATACACTCTTGTCATTTACAGTCAAACTGATCATATATAAGTGGCCTGTCAGAGCAGAAATAGTCTTGAGTGGTATTTTTTACTGATCTGCAGTTAACGTGATGTAAGTGGCAAGCAGAGCATGTAACTTTTTAACTGTCTGTTTGCTTTTTTTTTGATGGACGGGTGTAAAAGCAACAGTAAAGTTTTCTTAACTTGAACCAGAAACCATTCAGCGTGTTTGTTTATTTCATTCATTTATGCTCTCAAATCCAGAGTTTTGTGCAACAGAGCTGTGTTAAGCGGGCATCACAGAGGAGTATCGTTGAATTCCTCTTTGAAAGCTATCCTTCTGTTATTTCCCCAAAGGTTGGATAAAAAGCTAAGATACCATAAAGACAAAACTAATCAAAACAGCTTGTTAATCTTATTGAAGTGAAGCTGTCAGCCAAGCTTCCTCTCATTTAAATTTTTAATTGTTAAAGATATAGAGATTTTACAGTCAAAGCATTTCCCAAGTGCTGTTAAAGAGAGCAAGGACTTTTCCAAACATCTTAGCTTTTTGATACTTTGCACATAGACAAAAAAAGTATGTCACAAAAACAAAAAACTACAAGAGTCAAAATCAGTCCCTGTGAGGCCTAATAGTCAGTTGTGTATCCTTTTTGCTGGATAACAGCCTGCAGTCATTTGCTCTCTCATGCTCCTCCGGATGTCATGGCCTTCAGTTCAGCCCACACATTGTCACTGATTCAAGTCAGGGCTTTGCCTAAGCCAGTCAGTAACATTCTCTTTGGCCTTCTGGAGGTAGTTCATCAAGGTTGTTGTCGTGTTGGAAGACAAAGCAACAACTCAGACTCAGGTTTGCTGCCGACTACTGGAGGTTTACTTTCAGAATCTTCACATTTCCGATTCCTTCCACCTTGACCAGATTCCCACTTCAAGACGCACTGAAGCGTCCCCACAACATAATACTACCACCACCGTGTTTCACTGTAGAGACGCTGTTCTGTTTTGGGTTTTACACCTCTTCCCTCTTTCTCCAGCACAGGCAGTAGTTTAGTCTAGTTTATTCTCATCTGAACAAAGGATGTGCTTCCAGTTTGCATGATCCTTCTTCAGCTTGTACTCGGCATCCTTCACTCTGGCTTGAAGTGGCGTTTTTCCTGGTCTGAGACTTCAAAGTCCAGTCCTGTTCACGGTCCTACTGATGGTCTTTTTTGAGACCGCAGTTCCCAGCTTGACTAAGTCATTTCCGCGTGTCTTGGTAGTTCTGTTGTTTTTGGACACATCTCACTAGTTTTCTTTTCAGAGTCTGTGATTTGTTTCCTACCTCTGCCCGGCTTGTTCTACACTGTGTGGCTCTCTTTCAACTTCTTGATGATACTTCTCACTACAGTTCTTGAAACACTCTGATAACTTTGTTTATCCGTCTCCTGCTTTGTGAGCATCAACAATTGTTTTTATTAAGTCTATACTGATTAATTTAGTTTTTTCTCAAGTGGCAGCTCAAACCCTTGCTTAAGTTTTTGTACTATGTGGAAAAAGTTTTAACTTCATTTAACTTGATTTTACAAGCTTAGAGCATTACAAAGATAACGCACACTATTGCAGCAGTGGTTTGTGCTACGGCTCAATAAAAGGTCAGTTTTTCAGGAGGATGATAACATTGACCCATCGACAATAATTCTGTTATTGTCTGCAAGTAGAAATAATGTTATATTAAAAAACATGGGGAAATGTTTACAAAACTTTAAGTTTCACAAGGGGATAATAATTTCATTCTAAACTATAGATTTCTGCATATTTAATAACTTTCAAATAAATAGGCTGTATATATAAATCCTAATAAATAGATGTCCTGAAACAGCCAACGCTTTATTAAATTTTCTCTCCATCCACTGCTGAGGGTACTCAATGCCATTACTTTGGAATGAGGTAATTAAGTTCTTCACTAAAGCAGAAGAGAAAGAACAGCATATACCTCTCCAGTTGTATTTTATCTTTCCTCCCACTCCATAAATGTGTATAGAACAAAATGAGCAGCACAAAGTTTGTGTTGTTTGCTAACTAACAAAATGATTTTCAAAAAATGGACATTTTAAATTGGTTTCTAAATTGGTGGAAATTTATTTGTTACCGTGATAAAGATATCAAGTACAGAGTGTTTTCTTTCACAAAGATGAGTCGCTAGGTACGTTTTCATCACCCAAAATCCCTGCTGGGAAGCATTTGTTCTCACATAGATCCCCTTCTTCCCCTGCTAAAGATCCTTGTTTTGAAACCGGCAACTATTACCACAGTAACAGGAGTTGTCTTTAGCTTCAAATAATTGATTTTTTTTTTCTTTTTCAAGCAGGCCACTGCTGCTTGAAATCAAACCGAGTCTCTTGTGGTCAGATTGTTGTGCCTACATGCTACAACAAAAGGCTGTACTTTGGAAAGTACAGTTTGTCAGATATCTGTGCAAAAGGTTTTTGAGGCTTTGGTTAAAGAAAAAAAAATCCTATACACCTACTCCATATATTTGCATGCTACATTGAATATAGCCTGCGAAGTATTTTACTATAACCTAAAATATTCATGACAAAAGATGAAAGTTTAGCAAACATTCATGCTGTTTCAAATCTTGAGGTGACATTTCTAAAAGTTTTATACTCACTTAATCTGCTTTATCGCGACTATTTGCCTGCGGCCTGATCGGACTGGATTAACAATGAAACTGAACCCACTCTAACTGTCATCAGCTCTGATGTTTCTACTTTAAATCCTGGACGTTGCCACACCCGCTTCAAAACACAGAGAAAGGGACAGAGGAGAAAAAGAAACAAAAATATTTCTCACTGACACATTACTTGCTCCTTCTTTTGCCGTAACTCATGAAGCTGGCCTTCTTGACCCCATTAGAACATCTCTATGGCTTTCACCTGTCTCTGGCAACTGAAATAAAAGTATATCCAGGGTTAATCGTAAGGTTAATGTGCAGTGTGAACTCTCAGGGTAATTAGTTCACTTCTTATTGATTGACCTCCACACTCGACCTTCCGTTGGGAGCTTTTATAGAAAAGTGAAAGGGTGGGAAGGAGGGAGGCAACGGGTGGCCAAAAAAGACGGTAAAGATCCCAAGCAATAAAGCGTTCAAGGTTCTATTGTACGAGATTCTGGCCGCTTGCTTCCTTTGCAGTAATGTGTTAGGTGTCAAAGCAATTGACCATTTAGTTCCACATAAGCCCCATACACCATTTAGGCCTCACTGGTTTTTGTTAACTTTTTGCCGATGCAATCCTTTTCATTTTTCCCCCAGACTCTAAGGGCATTCTTCCATGTAAAGGGAGATGGGATAGATAAAAGGGAAAAAGAAAAAAAAAGGATGAACAAAGACGTGAAAGAAAGTGTTTAGGTTGCTGAACACGGAGAAGGACAAGTGGAGTGATGCTGTAAAGGAGTAAAAGAGCATGGCGGTGCCCGAGTGCCGATCGCTGAATGTTAAACGTATATGCCGTGAATGGCTGAGCTCGGGGAGCTCGACGGGGAGGAACGAGTCCGTTAAAACTTTCTGTCCCCTTTTCACAAGTTGTTGGGCTTTTTTTTTTCTCACCTCCTGTATCCATGTGTAGTCATGTGACAGTTTTATTTTTATGTGTCTCACAGTCACTGTCTATGTCCCATGTGCCACCTCCCCACACCCTCTCTACCAACCCCTCCCCACCCCACCCTTCTCTCCACCTCCAGGGAAGCTGGCGCAGAAAACTGGGGCACAGAAGGCTGCCAAACGCTCGCGTCAACCGCTGTCCATACCAAATGCCTGTGCAGCAGAATATCCACCTACGCCGTGTTAGCGCAGCAAGCTAAAGACCCGGTGAGTCACCTATGCAAAGCCTGATGTACTCTGTGGGACTTTGGGGTGTTAACGAGGCAACTACTACCAGGAGGAGAGGGAGCGCAGGTCAGTGAGCTGATTTTCTGTACGCAGACTCCAGCCACTATCCCCGTCAGACATATCACCGAGAACTACGTCTCTTAAGTCATTTATTGAGTTAACAGAAGGATATGGATGGGTGAGGCTGGCATGACTAGCAGAGCTTTATGTGAGATGTCTTACTTCATAACAATGAGCGCAGCCTGAGTGGGACTGTCAGTTTTAAAACTGTGACACAGTACTGTATAAATGGCTATTTTGATCACTGTGTGTTTGTCTAATTATATGTTGACTGGCTGTCATTCTTCCCATTATGCAAGTTTGGGGTTTATTTTTGTTTGTTTGTTTTTGAGCTTAAACTTGATGAAGGTCGGACTCTTTCAGTCCCGTGTGATGTGAGAGAGGCGAGGCGACGGGAGGAAGGAAGAGATTTTATTGTGTCTCTGTGTGACTTTTTTTTTTTTTTTGCCTGGAGCACATAACGTGTTCCTCTATAAATAGTTCACGTGGCTCACAGTGTGTGTTTGACGTGACAAAAGAGGGCTTTTTAGCAGTTAATGGTAATGCACATTCTGATTCACTGACCTGTTCTCCTGCTCTAATGGTCATCTAAATACCCGATCACCTTCCTCGTAGATCCACCCAAAGGACCCTAATTCTCTCACTGTGTAACACCTCACACTATCACCCCATTTATTTTACACCTTACCTCTAATTCATTATTTTTACCCATTTTCTTGCTTCCCTTATTCCTTTTAGCTGTTTTTTTTTTTACCTGCGAATCTCTTGTAAGACCCCCCCCCCTTGTCACTTCTTTTTTACCCCTGTTCACCTTGTTAACATTTCCAGTTTTCATTCTCACTTTATGCTGCAGCTCTGACCCCTACACTGTGGTCACAAAATGCTCCCCCTTGGCTTTGGCTCTTAATTTGCCTCTCTGATTACTTGTACTCAAAGCCCACGAGAAGACCGGTTGCTTAAAATATTCAAAGGAACAAAAGGAGATGAGGTTTGGGTACATTTTTGTCACACATTAAAATCTCTTTTGTGATTCTCTCTTTTAATGGTTAGTTCTCTAGTAAGCGCTGGAGAATAACTGTGTGTGTCACAGAAATGGAAAGTGATTGTAAGGAACAGAGGATTTGGAGGGTGGAGGAAATGTTCAACCAAACAGAAAAGGTAGTCTGGTCTCGGCTCGCAGGCAGCTTAGGGAGAGAGAGAGGGCCAGAGAGATGGAAAGTGGATGTTTTCTGCACTCACCTGTAATGCATTAACAACCAGCATTGCAGAGATAAAGAGCCGTGCACTTATGTGGCCCTGTTCGGCATAACGCATTGCTTCTATATTGTGCTCACCGATGCCGTGCATTTACCCTTTGCTTTTTTTCTTTTTTTCTAAAATGCATTTCTATCAGCTCATTGTTTAGCTGCCAGGCCATCTGCTTTACTGTTTACAGCAATGGCAGGTCAGTGTTTCCCACAAAAAAGCTCTGAAAAATCCGTACTGTACTTAGCATAGCTTTTGTCAGCAGAAGAAGATCAAACATTGGGAACAAAAAAAAATTGGAATTCATCAGTACCCCTACCTGGTCGCACCAAAAAGAAACAAATACAGTTAAAAGAGTATGAATATTGGAGGTAAGTTTCTTATACATCCCCCTGGCTAATGTTACACCCCTTTTTTATAGCAAATATTACCGCATACCAAATGTGCCTCTGATGCCATTGCTCTAAAGAAAAATTAAGTTAGAGGCAGAATATTGTAGTGAGTTGCAGCATATTATAAATGCTTCAGTCTCAAGGAAAAAGAAGGGAGGAAATAAAGGGTTTCATGGTTGCCGTACTCATTGAAAACTGAGAAATGAGAACATCTAATTGAGTTTATTTAAGCTGAATGCATTTTTAGTCTTCTTAACAGCATAGTTACAAGAATCCCACTGTTGGGTAGCATCTAGTTGCCAGTGCAGACACGGCATTGAAAAACTCCTGTCACAGTCACATTCACTTCTGTTTCTTGTTATCCCCAACCTTGGATGAAGCCGTGCAAGTGACAGCTGCCTTGAACGTTTCCTGAGACGGATCAAGTCATTTAATCCAACGCAAACATGGATAAGCCAAGTTGACAGTAGTGACACTGACTGGCGTCGCAACTTTTAGATGACCTCCCTGTTTTAAAGGAAGGACTCAGTAAATTGCGTAAACCTGAGATAATCAGCTGGTTTGTAAGCCTCAAGATTTCCGTGTCCTGCTTTAGGATTTATTAGTATTATTATTCCCTTCTGTTCTATTTTTCCCTTCTATTAACTGTAAAGAGGGTCAAAATAAGGGGATGGCCTTCAGGTAAGGAACTGCAGTTATTCATTATTTTTGTACCTCAGAGCTTGAATTACTTCACAGGGGTCTGGAAGCCATTTCAGACCCCAGGGAAACATTAACTCCCCGTAATATGGAAAACACAATAGCTTTGACCCATAAGCCGAACGGGTCATTCCGGCCACTGTTTCTGGTTCCTGCGACTCCTCTTCCAGCCGTACAGTATTGACTTTCCCCTCGCCACACAGCAAGCAGGTCGACCGAGTTGACTGATAGAGGGCCAGGAGAGGGGGGAAATAAAAAAAAAAAGAAAACACATTGACTTTTTTTTACATTTGTGACATCTGTGAAGAGTGTGGTAGTCATTAGTGATTCATCAGTCAGCCCCCAGTGCTGCCATTTAGACCCAGTGCACAGGACCAGAAGGTGTGTGGGTTAGTGTTTTTGTGTCAATGGCTCTCAGTCAGGAGCTGTTGCTGCTGGTGCTGAGTGCACTTTGTTGCTTTAGGGTGCTCCAGAGTTAGCTTTTTACTCCAGTGGAGATTGGGTTGTGTAAAAAGAAGAGAGAGAGGCAAATTGAATTTGGCAATAAATAAAAAAAGCAAGAAAGAAAGAAAGAAAGAGCCACATTCAGACATGCGAACACACTGATATATGGTGGTATGCACTTAAAAACACTTAACATGCACAAGCCTGCATGCATGCATGTAAGTCTGGGCGAATGAAAACGCGCACACAGATGCTCAACACACACACAGACAAAGATGCACTCATATGCTCTGTCCAGGCTGTGTGGCTGTTGGAGCAGTGCTGAGTATCAGCAGCCCAGCTCTGACAGCTTATCCTGGGCTACGGCGCGAGGGACAAGGGGGGCTGAGGATTAACCTCCATGTTTAATAGAAAAGGGAGGCAGCGGGAGTGGGGGTTGGGGGGTAGGTGGAGGGATTTAGAAGCAGTGGTGCCATTACAGGCCGTTTACAGTGGAGTGAGGGATAGCCAGTTAATCCTGTTTACTTTCTATAGCCTCTGAGATTTCCGTGTGTGTATGTGTGTGTCCTGCGTGTTTGAGTGTCTATAGAGACCTTTCGCTATCAGACACGAGACAGAGGGTTTTTTTTGTTTTTTTTTTACTTTAGCGACACAGACAAGCGAGAAAGAGAGAGGGAGAGGAGGAGGATTTGATTGAGTTAGGTCATGAAGGAATACTAAAAGACCAAGCCACTTAATTCTTAAGATGACTCCAGTGGGAACACACAAACCCCACGGATACGTCTGGACTCTTTGCCTGCGCAGAGCTCACGGAGATCACGGGATTTGGAGCTGAGGGAGGTACTGGCTTTATAAAAGTCAGTTTAACGTTTTGCACCTCCAGTCAATAATGTGACTTCCACGTTTTTTTCCCCTTCGCATTTGTCAGCCCATAAAGCCGGTGCTCAAGTTGTGTTGACATTAAAGCTAATAGCAGCTTTCAGGTGCCTCTCCGAACTTGCATTCAAATACACTGAGCTTGCCTAAGCAGGCATCCAGAAATATGAATGGACAAGAGAGGTCAGCGGTTCACAACAGCACCTGAGACTTTGGTTTAGTCAGCACAGATGAGCGCACAAGCAAACACACTCGACTTGAGTGAGGAGGAGAAACAGAAAGAGGGATTTTCTCATTTTCTTTAACTTATTTATGAGCCAATTACTGAATCAAAGTAAGTCGCTCCAAATAACAATATCCGAACTGATGTCTTTCTGCTGTAAAGGATTTCTCAGAGCTTCTTCTACCTGCCACGCTAACTGCATTTGGCCCAATCATTCTTATGAAATGATTGGCTTTGCCTGAGATAAATCGAGTCTTTTTCGTCTGTTATCATCAGTGCTCGAGGCACCTAATCAGAATGGAAACATTTCAGAACAGGGCCTATTATTTAGACTAATAATGGCCACCGTGCTTGATTTGACTGTGGAAAAGACGATAGGGATGACTGAAGTGCTTCAAGGTGGCGACTCATATTTTAACTTATTATAATTTAACTGGCAGCAGTGTTTGGAGAGAAAACAAGGCCTGACCTAGACCAAGCGAGACTGCAAGGTTATGGTATGCAAATATGTCGCACTTGTCAGATGTAATTAAAGGATGAGGGGGCGCTAAAATTTATGAGGGACTCGGCATAGAATTGCATTAAAATCTTTTAATCCTTTGTCACATTAATGAAGGGTTAGCCAAGTGACAGCGATGACACAGGAAATTATGAATAAACAGGTGTAATGATTTAGTTGCGTGTTTGTCTAAAGATGCATAATGCCTGAGCGTGGGCAGGGCAAAGACTTGTTAATTAGATATTCAAAACTGAGTGGAAAGTGTGTGTTTTTCTTAATATAATTAGAGGGTCAGAATGTGTTGGAGGCGTTGGTTTTGACTGAATTTTTTAAATGTGAAATACAAATTTGGTCCACAAGATCCCTTGAGGAAAAAATGTGTCTTGGTGCAACTGGCTTTTTGTTTGCCCGTTGTCTTGAAGGCCTTTCATTTTCTTGCTCGCATTCTGCATTTTGCATCAACAAACATCACAAACCTTGAACATTATGCAAAAACGGCAACACGTAAGGAAAAGGCTTCGCTTTGTGACACGGCGTCAGCACTCCAAGCTCAAGCAGGCTTTTGGTTTCTCTCGAGGCAACTGAAGTCAGAGTCAGTTAAGTTGAAACCTCGAGGGTTTGCAAAAATAAAAAAAAAAAGACTCAATTTGAAGTATTTTGCAGTGAGTATGTAACTAGTGCTATGGCAGCAAAACAGGCAACTGAGCAGCAGGATTGCTAGATTAGCAAAAGAGTTTTACCTTCAATGTAGTGGCACAGTGTGCCTGGGTGTACTGTTGAGTTTGTATGTACCTGTGTGGGAATAAAAGGGGCAAGTGACTGCCTCGAATTGAAAATGTCATTTTTTCCCCACTTTTCACAAGGGGCCTAGTATTTTCAGACCCTACATGGGAGGACTGTGAGAAACACTGCAAAAATATCAATGCTGTAAGTGGTAATGAATACTCAATATGTTCTCATTAACAAATAATAAATGTGCACATATTGATTATTGATTTTGCAGCAGTACATCCACTATAGGGGGAATGAATGGATAGCTTAAGCCTGTTTCCTGCCATCACTCAATAGGTTTTCCTTCCCAAAATGAAACATTTAAAATTCAAAGTCAGGCAATAATTAACTGTTGCTAGAACAAATTTAACCATCTTGTATTATATTACATGTAATATAAGCAGAACTATTATAGTGATGTCACCTGCCAGACACACCAGTAGTAATTAATTTCCATGTTAGCTAAGACTAGTAAGATGTGTAGTGAAGGAAATTTATAGATGGGGACCAAACACTAATGTGTTCAGTGTCACTGAATATGAAATATAGCTTTTGTCGCCCTTTGTAGATCAGGGTCTGGCTGCTGTACTGGGGTCAGCTTGCACTCAGCTTCATCATCTCTCCAGGCTCTTGGCTAGTTTTGTGTCAGCACGTTTGTCTGTGTAGATGGTAGGGCTGTTTGATACTGCAGATTTTGGTATTGATCCGATACAGGGCCAGAATAAAGGCAGCTTTTGTAGAGGCAAGCATTGTGTCATGATTTGCAAATTCTGAACACATTTCACTAGCCGCTAAATCACTGTGATTTCTGCTCTCCACTACAATTAGTTAACAGGACAAAAGCTTTTCATGTCTTCTGAAGATGTGAATGTGCCTGTCTCTAAAGTACTTGGCTCAACCTCTGTTCTTTAAATGTGCTATATGCTAAAAATAAAATAAAATTGACAGTCAACACAAAAAGGTTCAGTGATTTTTCATTATGCATGTTTGAAGGATATTTCTTTATTTCTAAGAAGAAAACATGTTTTGTTTAACACACGTCAGTGGGCTGCATACTGAACTTAGAGGACAGAAACAAAGTATTGATCCCACTGCGCTAGTATTGATCTGATACCAATATCAGTGGTGGTATCAATGCTATCATTATTCAAATCAGTCTGCTCAGCTCTAGCAGGTGCTTGCAAGGATGTTCTTTTTCTTTCCATCTGCCCAGCGTCTAGATTGTATCTGAAAACTGTAACATAATCACTGTGTTTACTGCAGTACTGAAAAGCTTAATCTGATCATGCTACTTTGGAATTCAGCGCTAGAAACACACATACAGATAAGTGAAATTTTTGTAATAAATACTGGATAAATTCTCCCGTTTGGTGGTGCCCTTTATTGTTCATATAGTTATTAATTTTGTGCACTTTAAGCACATCACCAACCAGCTGCAGTATTTGTACAGTGATAACTTAACACAAGGATACATATTAAACAGAAGTTGTCTAATCAGTCATAGGAAGACTACTTTTGCCAGTTCAATATTCACATTTTTCTTCCAGTGGGAAAGTTGTAAGAACAGTTAATGGAAAACGGGCCTTTTGGTGCAGGTGGACATGGAAAGCCACTAGTGAGGAGCAGGTCTGAATGTAGGGGGGAGGAAAAAAATAGGGGAAGAATGAGAGCCAAAGAGAGGGAGATGAAATGAGGGAGTGGGTGGTAGCAGGATAGGTAGGAGGGTGTGGGGAGGAGGAGTGAGAGGAGATAAGTAGGTTAAACTTCCTGAGCTCAAAATAGCTATCTTCTCCATCACATGGTAGCCAATCTGCCCAGGGGAGCCTGGCCATATACAGCAGAGCCTCAGCGCACTCGCTCTTTCTAATCTGCACTCCGTTTTATTCTCTCCTCCGACTGCATCAAAATATCACTATATCTATCTGGGGCAGGGCATCTGTGTGAGCCAGTAGCCTCGGGCCCGATGTGTTACGTTTAGTGTTTTTGAGCGTGTCTGTTTGTGTGGGCGTTTCCTCTTTTCATTTCCCCTTATTGTAGCACCCTTCCATATTATGAAATAAACCCTTAATCTCATCACACACCTAACCGCCACCAATTTAGACAATTCTGTTAGACAAATTGACATGATGACGAGTTCAGGGACAGTTTGAGGGGTTTAGATAGAGCACACTTAGAAATGAGAGAATCGTTTATTTGACTAGTTTTCTAGCAGAGGCTAATTTAAGACTGATTCAAAAACTGAGAGGGGAAAAAGGTGATCCTGCAGCCTTTTTTTAAGTGCCTGTGCCTGTGTGCGTGCATGCGCTTGTCTGCTTGTCATTCCCCATGCATCGCCCTGCGTTTGATCTGTCAGACCTCAAAAAACACAAGTGCCTGTGTATCCTTTGACCTTCCATTCTTCGTAGTATCAAACACAGTCAGTCTCTCTTGTCTCTCGCTCTCCTTCTAGGCCCTTCCCTTTTTCCTAGAACAGATGCTTGTCATATGCCCTCTTTGTCTTTTTTTTTCCGTAGATCTCGCCTTCGCTATGAGGCAGTTTTGATTATGTTTCACCTCCATTCCCTTCCCAGTGTGTTTGTGTGTGTGCCGTATTGGTATTCCAACCTATTCCGCTTTCCTCTGGAGAAATTGGCTTCCTTTGATGGGCCAGGGGAAAAAACCACTAAAAGACAAGCTTTGACTTTCTTGCTTTTTCAGTCTCCCTATCTATTTCGCTCACCTCCTACTCTTTGCTTTTGCTTACTTGTCCTTAGCTCTTCCTACTCCATCTCCCTCTCTAAATTTCTCTCTTACTCGTTCTTTTCATGTTGGTTTCTCCTCTCCTTTCTGATGGGAATAAAGAAGTCTTCGTCTTATGCTTCCGTCTATTCAGATCAAGTCGAATACACACACAGGCACACGCAGCTTAAACACTTACCTTCAATTACTTAGCCCATCTGCCTGGATGTGCCTATGTGTTCAAGTATGTGCTTTATTTGCAGTAAAAGACACCTTGTGCCACGGGTACGTACAGTGATAAATCTTTGGGATGAAAGGGAAGGATAGTCGCTGCGGGGGGTAAATTGAGGTAAATTGTGTGATTGAGAACTTAAAAGCGGGCCAAACATCAAGCCCATTTGGGACGCGGCGGGGTGCATGCTTTCCACGCGGCTTCATTTGTCTGTTCCTCATGCTTTCAAAGGCACACCTCAGGAGCAGAGGTACGCTGTACATCATGACCTAAATCACTTAATTATGCGCTGTGGTCTCGTACTTTTACCCTCGCGCATAAGAAGTCATCAAATGAGTGTATAATTGGTACACAGCAAGTGTAAAGTGAGTGTTTGTCAAAGCTAGCTCTGTGTCTTGGCAGCATTGGTCAGTCATCACAGAAACAGTTCGTTCTAGTGGTTTGAAGGAGAGTCATATTTTAATCTGCAGTCATTTGCACTTGGTGGAATAGCTCTGTTCTGGTACCTCACTACCTTTTAACTCGCATACGTAATATACAGAGCAGGCATCTGTAACAACAGGTTGATTAATTAAGTTAGATAGAGCTTTAAAGGCAGAGCTGAGGCCAGAGAATTGGCCTGACAAAGACTCCAATATGGCCCACTGGAAGGCTTTGGGAAATGTGAAGGAATGCATATAGATTCCTATTGATAAAGATTAATTCATACCAGTCATATTACAACAAATAGTTAAGTAATAGATAATCAGATAACTAACTTATTAAACAACAAGTAACTATTATATCTGATATAGAATTTTTTTTCTACTATAGGGAAAAAAGAACATTATTATAATTACAGGACAATCTGGACAATGAGCTAACAGAAGCGTTTCTGTAATTTTACACATTTATCAATGTTGAAAATTGAGACACATAGCTGAAATTGCATGTCTTTTTTTTTGTAATAAAACATGCCAGTTATTGAATGTTTAATTAAATGTCTTTGCACTGATAGAAAAGGGAGTTTAGTGTTTACTTTGACATCCCTGCATTAAGTGATATTTAAGGAGAGTGGCTCAGCTTTTTGTAGCCTGCTTAAACTAACACTAAGCCTCATTAAACTGATGATGTAAATTTAATGCAAGGATTAGTTGGTCCTGCAAAAGATGCTGTAGGTGAGCTTTATTTTTTAATTTTGTTTCAGTTAATTATTTCCTCAGTGGCTCCTGATTATCATATCGTTGGTGGATATTTAAAGCAGAAAAGCAGCAACAATTACGTTATCTGGTGTTTAATGATGGCCACAGAGCTCGCTTTCATAGACATGTTAGCATTATCAAATGTCGATGTCACAGTTGATGCAACTTCAGTGGCATAAGCGCCATCATCATTAATCAGTCAGTTTGGGAATGTTTCCTAGCAACTGGAACAAAACCTCGATAGCAAGACCAGCACGTTCAAGTTCAAACAGATATATACTGAGATGTGCTTTGTTGACAAGAGCAAAATACTCAGGCTTCTTTTGATGCAGGTACATGTCTCTTGTAATGCCTTGCAACTGCACTGAAGTATCCATCTCTCTCCCTCTCCTGTTTCTGTTCTTTCCTCCCGCTATTAGGACATGGGTCCTACCAGCATGCCCTCTGTGCCCCTTATGGTGGGGTGCGGCATCTCCTGCACCGCTCTGCTCATCCTGCTGCTAATATATGCTGCCTTCTGGAGGTGAGAGCTCACAAACACACTGAGAGACACATTTGATAGAGTAATGGCAGTGTCAGTATTCATACATCAACTGTGCTCACAGTGGTCATTTTCTCACTAGCAAAGTCTCTTTTGTGTCTGTCATTTGCTTTGCCAAAAACTCCAATGAGGCCTAATAAGGAACAAATGGTTCAACTACGGTGGGGGGGAGGTGGTGATTAGTTTGTATTTTGATTACATGCAGCAGATGGCAAACTCAAGCTAATGTCTCTGCAATGTCCAGAAAGTCACTGTTCAGTCCATCAGTCTGTCATTAATGCTTACCGCACACGCCTATCATTTCTTCCTCTTTCCCGTCTCTCGTTACTCTGCTTTCAGGTATATCCGGTCGGAGAGATCGATCATCTTGGTGAATTTTTGCCTCTCCATCCTGGCCTCCAATTTATTAATTCTGGTCGGACAATCACAAACGCTTAGCAAGGTAATGACTTTCTGCTCTTTGAGTTATACGTGAATTTTCACAGGAATTCTTGTCCATGTGCTTGTGATTCCAATAATAGTTCTTGTGACTAAGCCTCCATTGCCTAGAAACAAAACTGCCAAAAACCACCAGGGTTCAGAAGTAGACAAAGTTCATACAGTGGAGTTCTCAAAGCAGGCATTCTAAGTCTTCTGACTAAGCAAGGCTGAACTGTGTGGTGGTCAGCATCGATCAACCACACAGCAGTGCCAGGTTGAACTCGTGTTCTTCCACTCAGTATTTTTGCCTTTGTACTTTCTATTTTGCGGAGGTTTCATATTCCCCTGCCAAGCCCTAAAAGATGATTCGTGACGTCTCTTCTTAAGAACTTTTTGTTTGTTTGTTTGTTTAAATAGCACCTCTCCGTGTGTTGTAATCCCTTGTCTCTCTCGATTACTTTCTTTATTCACTAGGGCCTCTGTACTGTGACTGCTGCCTTCCTGCATTTCTTCTTCTTGGCATCCTTCTGCTGGGTGCTGACTGAGGCGTGGCAGTCCTACCTGGCAGTCATTGGCAAAATGAGGTCACGACTCATTCGCAAGCGGTTTCTGTGCCTCGGCTGGGGTGAGTCCACACGGTATCACACGCTTTAAAATAGTGTGCAGTGCTGTAACGGTCCTAAAGCTCAGTCACCTCAAAGTGGATGAAAAAAATTTATATATAATTAATAATAGAGCCTACCTGAATGTTCAGCAATATGCTAAGCTAGTGTAGCTGTCACAGTAGTTGCCATAGATATGCAAGTCTGTCGCATTTTCTTTGTACCATCATCTCTTGGTTCCTGGCATGCACTGTACCAGCCTGCAGTGATTCTCACACACAGATACAGCCCATGTCACTGATCTGTGGTAATAAAACCGACTCAGTTTCCTCCATAATTACAGTTTCATTCCCAAACTCTGCCTGTTTGAACAGAGAAGCTAAAGGGGCCACATTCTTTGCTGATCTGACATTATTACAGCTACCTTTTCACTCAGACAGGGAGCACAAGCTGCTTTCACTGACAGAAAAATATATTTCGGGGGGGCTTTAAGGTTGGTTTTTTTCTGATAGGAGAAAGCGGGAGAAGAATATGAGTTAAAAATGTGATAATAAATGTACCTGAAATCTGGGCTAAGATTGTAATAGCCCTTTGCATGCATCACCCCTGAAATTATTCCTGTTGAGTTTTCTCGCGTGATATTGCTAAACATTTGTCTGCCATATTGGTTGCAAGGGGGGAAAAATGCATATATCCTGGATGTCATTGGTTCCCCCTGGGTAAAATTGGTATAAAAGAAGATGCTACACCAAAATCCTTTTTTTTTTTTTTTTTTCGGTTCCTAGTAGATTTCCACAAGTGCCTATAGTGACAGGTGTGTTGCTAGGGATAAATGGGGGTCACTGACCAGTGTGTAGACCTGTGTGACTGGGGCATTAACAATTATTTTCCCAGCAACTGCCATCAACCTCCAGCAACCACAATTTTTTCCCTAACGACAGGTGGTTGCCAGATGGTCACTGACCAGCATCTAAGCTTGTGTGATTAGGGCACTGTGCACTTCATTCTACTTTTTTATTGTGATTATCACATGTCCAGAAGACAAGTTAATATCACGTTTGACGATCACGTGTCTGCAAAACCTCAAAAGATAAGATTCTCATTTCCAGCACACAGAGCATGCTTTGTTTTGTTTTTTTCAAAACGCTGCTCTGCTAATCTGCATCTTTGATTCATTCTGTCGTTTTGTCGCTGTTTCTTGTCTGTTTAATTGCAACTGCAGATACATTTAACCGGTGAAGCTCGCTTCTCTTCATCGCAGTCTTTCTCGCTTCTTAAATAATAGTTCAAGTTGTCAAAACAATATGTGAAATCATTCACAACATGTTGTTACTTGCGCACAGCAGAAAAAAACATTTCTCATTCATTGTTAGCGCTTGCGATTGTTTTATCACATCTCGCCAAATCAAAGCCCAATTGTCTACAATTTGAACAATTACTGCTTTCTGTGTCTTTGTGATCAAAATAGATAATGCGCTTTCATAGCTGAACAGTTTCTCTTTTCTTTTTTTCCCCCTCTTTCTAAAGTATGTTGGAATTATTTCAGTGTATAAACTGTCATACACTCCATGCTGAAAAGTCTCTAAAATTATGTAAATCTGCCAAGCAAAGTCACACGTTTTTGGCAAACTCATTTAAAGAATCTTGTAGTTGCAGCAACTTTTGAACGTGGAGGATCCTGATCAGTTAAACATGTTACAAGGTCAACCGTGTGCCGGAAGAAGACGACAATTACCAAATGCTCCATCGTGTTTGCTGGAGATAAAGGAATCTTCAAACTGGGCTGCTTTGATGCAAAGTTGTTGTCAGTTATACTCAGAAAAATACTAGTCTGGCTCACGAGGCTTTCAGTGTCAGTAAAACTTGTCGTAGAAACCTGTTTGGAACTCAGCAGCTAAGGGGAGTCTCTCTGTCTTTCTGACAAAACATCTAAACATTTCGACCACCTTGGTTTTTCACAGCATCAGAGGAACTGTTTATTTTGACGGCTGTTTCGGTGATTTGTTCATTGACATTTTTTTGTTTTCATCAAGGTTTTGTGTGAGAAACAGCCTTTTGCAACTGTGTTGAATTGCATTTCTGCATTCATGGGCTGCATTGGGAAGGGCATCTTCCGTCCTTAGAACTTTACCACCTGATATAAAGAACAATGTACCAAAGCACTTTGGAAACACAGTAACAGCTACTTGTTAATAATGACCAGCTGAGTCTTTAACTTACTAGAGATTCAATGCATTTAATGACCCCCAAAGGTGTTTTTTTTTAAGCCGACCAACTAGAAAGACACTGGATTGGAAGTCTTTGAATCAAAGCAACAACCGTCCATCTTCATTTAATGTTAAAGTTATCAAAAAGTCACTTTTTTGTTCATGAGTCTAACACTGCATGACTGTACACGCGAAGCACGTTTGATCACACTGAGTGCACAAACACAGTGACTTCATTAATTCTCTCCTGACTCCCCTCCATAAGCATTAATATGTATTGCTATGCGCTTGTTTGTCGTTGCCATGATTTTCCTGGAAATCTGAACATTTTGACAGGCGCGTTTGTGAATTCCAGTGAAGAAAGCACGGCGTTTGTTTCAAAATGCAGAATGCATGAATTATCACATCCAATATAATGGTGGCATTCTCTACACTTAGCTGATAATAAAGGTGTCTGCCGTTTCTTTTACCGAAAACATCCGCTATCCTCGGATGCCAGAGGATTGTCAGCGTGGCAAATGAAGACCCTTTCATGAATTGGATTCTGATTGAGGCACTCTTGTGTGACATGCATTGGTGATGGAGAGCAGCAGGACAGGCTTATTTTACATGAAAATGTAACAGCTTATTATGCCATAGTGTTGAAATTGTTGGCTGTATTATGCTTAACAATCTTCATTTGCTCCGTTCTAATTTATATCCCATTTTTCTTCACCGTATGCTGTTATTTGCTGCTTCATTTCCCAAAAGGCATTCATTACAGCTTTCTACTGTAATTTTATCTAACTCAGCCAAAGCCCCATGTGTAAGCTGTCTCATGCATACACATTCTCAGAGGGTGTCACTCTTTACAGGTAAACTCTCTCCTCTCCGCCTGTGAGTCTATGTCACTTTTTTTATCCCCCATTTGTGCCGCATGTCACTCTATTATGCTGTGACCTAGACAACCTGATAACTCAACAGGCAGCAGGGATGTTAGATGGGATGTTAATCAAAACATATGATAACATCAGCACAACCCTAGCAAGATGAGCAGTGAGATAGCACAAAAAAAAAAATAAAAAATCACAACCCCCACACCCATTTCATTTCACTTGATATTGATCCCACAGGTCTAATCTGCCAAGTCACTGATGCCCTAACCTGATACAGAGCGAAATGTATACGCTGTGCAGTTACAGAACGCGAGGAAGGCTCCGGGCGCACGGCGGGGGCACGTGCCAGCTGTTCAATTATCCGACACACTTGCAGATGCACACAGAAAGCGTGAAACGGTCGAGCATAGTGGAGAGGATCAAACAGCTTATCCTCCTCTCGTCCATTTCCCAATTTTCTTCCCCAAATTATGTGATTGAAATCGGTTGCCATGGCAACGGGAGATTTCGGGGCGGGACTGGATCTGCGTTAGATTAGCAGCAGACCGTGTAAGCCTGAAGTGTAGGTGCGCGGTTTGCCGTCCTACATAGAGTTAAATGCTAGACTGATGATGTTGACTAATTGAAACTTCGCTGGTTAGTGGATCGGCCTGGCTCTCCACCATCTTATTTGTTAATGTTAATGTGACTTTTTCTAATTGCTTTTCATTTGCAGCCATAATCACAGCTTTGTTAATTACATGAATATTTCAGAGCCAAGCTCATTACAGGGCCCGGCATATTTCCTTCTGTTTCTGGCACGCATTCTGCGACACTTGGTCTCACTCTCTTTCCTTCTCATTTGTGCGTAGACAAACACACACACACACACACACACACACACACACACACACACACACACACACACACACACACAAATCACTTGATTTAGCTAATTATTGTATGACTTATTGACCACTCCTAGTTATATCTTGCATTTTTACAAACTGCCTCTAAATCTCATATGCTCAAGTACTCCTGGTGCTGCTTGCACACACCCACACTGTGTGCTTTGCGTCGCCTATGACTAAAATAACTTCCATCTATCTAACCCCAGTTTTCATGCTTGTAGCTAGACCTCATGTCAGGAAGTACAGAGCGCTGGGGTTACCTATAGAGCGCCCAGTCACTTTGAATCATACATTCATATTACACTCTATTGCATGGCTGCTTAGCATTTTAATGAAAGGAGCCTTATAGAGTTGTTCATACTGGGAAATCTTATTGGGCCGACATGCTTCATCGTCCCCACTAAGGCTCTCTTTTATCTTTTGTCTCACACTTTTGATCTTTCTCCCCGTGTCTGTCTGTAGGTCTTCCAGCCCTTGTTGTAGCAGTGTCAGTGGGTTTCACCAGAGCGAGAGGTTACGGCACAGCCAGCTAGTGAGTATTGCTTCCAGACCTCCGACTTTGTCTAAGTCTATGTGAATATCATCACTAAATACCAGCTGCAACCATGAATTTGTGTGGGCTAGAGGCAGAGTACCATTCATTGGCCTCATTACTGATGAATCAAAACATGCACGTGTATTTCCCCCTGAGGTGTTCAAACTAAAGTTTATTTCATAGGCGAGTATTTTTATGTATTTAGTTTATTCAGTCAAAGCAACCGTGTGTGTTATAAACAGCTGAGTGTGTAAACCCCAAATCTATTCTTTTACATCAACATCATCAGTCTTTTCTCCATGTATCCATGTATCTATTCATACAGTTGCTATAGTATATTTCTTTCTTCTGTGCCACAGGAGGACAGTTGCCTATCCCAGCACGCACTATGTTCAATATGCAACACATCTTAGCTGCTTATGTAGTGGGCATGGTATAACATTGACAGTCCTGTTCACCGCAGGGACACATTAACCCCCTGAAAACCAGCTCTGATCGGCAGGTTAAATAAAACATATTTACATATCATGTGTGAAAACCTTAATCATCAAAAACTAATCAGCTTTTGATTTTTGTGGTTCTGTTAATATTATTGCAATGGCTCCATATCCAGCAACTCCACCACTGAAAAAATAATTAAAGATTTAGATTTTCTATATTTGCTCATAAATTAAGGAAATTATTCCAGCTTAGGGCCAAATGGCTTGTTTCTGTCATTCAAGTGAGAAACTAATAGTTTTAAGGTCTTCAATATAAAATTAATCTCCTTGCTGTCAAGTGTGAGCGCAAAATGACCTTTAAGGCATTTCAATAACCACGTCAAACAGGTGAAGCATGATTTGAATGTTTTGTTCAAGAATATGAAAATCCAAGGAAGCTAGGCTGACCTTTAAGCAAAATGTACACAAAAAAGCTTCATTACGTACCCAGTCAATAAAATGCATCTTAAAAAGGTTTACTTCCCCATATTACTTAACGTGAGGGCTGTTGAGTTTTTTTTTTTTTTTTTTTTTTTTGGGGGGGGGGTCATCGTTAAGCTTTCTCTTTATTGAGCTGTAATTAAGATGACAGAGGGGTTTCCGCGTGCTCTGATGACATTACTGGAGGACACATTTAAGCTCATTAAGTCTCACTAGCTTGCAAAAACCAAATAAAATTTCCAGTTTGAGGATATGTTTTAGGTAATGTACATAATAAATTTGCTCAGCACTGAGGGCATTATTTACAGAAAGAGGCACTTAACCACACATTGAAAGGCTTTATCCCTCACCAAGGAAATTTGGAGTTAATGTGATACTTAATTGAATGTCTACTTGTTTTTGTTAAGTACTTGGCACTCACAGTAAGTGAAATGTGAGACCGGAATCTGGCGACGTGATATTTTACATGCCGTGATTTTTCTGTGTTTACGCACTTTTTTAACACCTCTTCTTTTTTCTTTTTTTCCCTCTACTAGTTGCTGGCTATCGTTGGAAGGCGGTTTGCTTTATGCCTTTGTTGGGCCAGCTGCTGTCATTGTATTGGTGAGTGCGTCACTGCTTCAGTTCAGTTCAGTTTTAGTTATATAGCACCAAATCACAAGAATGGTTGCCTGAAGGCACTTTATACTGTAAGATAAACACCTTACAATAATAGAGAAAAAAACAAACAACCAGACGTTCCCCTGTGAGCAAGCAATTAGCGATGGTGGGAAGGAAAAACTCCCTTTTAACAAGAGCAGCAGAACCAGGGTCAGGGAGAGGGGCAGCCATCTGTTGTGAGCAGTTGGAGGTGGGACAAAATCCACACTGGAAGAGATTCAGCGTTTAGTAATGGTGTATAAACGGTGGTCTATAAACACATATAGAATTAAAAAGGGTGAATGAAGAAACACTCATTGCATCATGGGAAGCCAACAGGAGCGTGACTAAGGGAGGATTCAGGTTCCATCTACATGACGAAGTTCCTTTCCTCTCAGCCAGCCGGCCTCTCTCTGTGGTCACACGCCACAAATATTTCTCCAAATTCTCCAAATATTTTTGCAAAGTTAGCCTCCCAGCTTGGGGCATTAAAGCAAATGCATGTTGACCTCTGAGGGTTTTCCTCACTCGCGCATGCACATGTAAGCATACACACCCAGGGTGTACACGACACAATGATGAGCTGAGCGCTTTGATCGCTGAGTCTAAAATGTCAGCCCAGAAAAAAATAAAAACATATTCTAGCTGACAAGAGCTGCCGGCAATGCAGCGCGAGAGTGGACCTCCGTCGCAGCTCTAGCCCCGAATCTCTCACTGTTATATGCATTTTCAAAGCATAGGGCTCTGTAGCCAATGTTTTAAGCATTATTATGGTCCAGTGGTATTTTCAGATCTAAATATGCAGCTAACTTGTGTTCCACGGAACGTAATAATGTGTGCTTTCTTCATTTTTGCCAGTTGCCATAAAGCAGACGGTTTTATGTTGAAGTAAATATACTTCTGTGTTGTACTACAGCAAAACTGAGTGCACTGATTGTATCTCAGAGGCGTTTTAATCATCTGCTTCTGTGTGCTGCTGTATGTGGCTCAGCTAATTTCTCCTAAATGGATCCCTGGGTAGATATTGCCACCACTAAGCTTAATAAGTCTGGATGGGGCATTAAAGTTTGGTAATTGCTGCCACTGGCGTTGCTGTTGTGTGTGTCCATTTATAGCTTCTTTTCCTCTGTTGTTTGCACATGTACCGTACAGTACACGTCAGAAAGGAAACATGGATCAGACAGCACAGGTGTGCAGAGTGATATGCATGATTTTGAAGTAAATCCCTGACAAGCAAACAGCAGTTAGACAGTTTCTGCAAGCTGCAGTTTGAGGCACAAGGGAATACAGGATTATGTGCTGCTGAATATTCATCATTATGTTAATCTAGTGTCTTGCAATGCCACTGTTATTATTTAAAGGTTACATAGTCTGAAACTGAATGCAAAACAGTAATAAATCGCATTCCTTTAATTGAAAATATTAAATAGTGTTTATACACTTGTATAAAAGCTCTAAATACTCGCGAGGTTGGTGCTTTATTTAAAAAAATGCAAAATGCATGACTCTAAAAAAGCGTATTTGAATAAGTTATAAGATGAAGAAGTTAAACATTCAAGTTTCGAAAGTTGGAGCAGTTTCATAAAACCCACCAACTTGCTTAAAGTTATTTTTCAGTGCCTAGTATGTCTTGATGCGCTTCCAGCTTTTCTCCTCCGCAATGTCAAAGTACGCTCCACACCCCAGCTGCTACGTTGTACCTGGCCCCCTGGTGTTGTTGCTGGGGCCGCACTCTAACAAACAGCTGTAATGAGAGCAGGGCGTTGGGCAGAGAAACACAGACCTTCCCACAGGACTCTTCTCTAATTAATGAACCTGGCCTTGGGCAAATAGCTGAGCAGGATGGTGCTGACTCACAGAGCCTGGGCCAGACATGACTGGCATGACAATAGTGCTGTCACAGTCTGGCACGTTGTAGGTAGTTGTCAGTAGCACACGCGAGACTGGAAGAGATCAGAGAAAGAGATTTTTTTTTAATGAATCGTAAATGCCACATGTACCATACTGACGATCCACCAAATGCTCTGTCTAGTTTGGTGATGTGCAGTACAGGAGCTCCACAGGGGACTGTGCTGTCTCCATTCCTGTTCACCTTGTACACCTCAGACTCAGTACAACTCCAGGTCATGCCACATATGCAAATACTCTTGACAGTTCTAGTGTTTGGATATATTAGTGATGGGTAGGAGGAGACGTACAGAGCACTAGTAGATGTTTTTGTGGAGTGGTGTGGCAGAAGTCATCTGCTTCTGAATCTGAATGAGACCAGAGAGGTGGCGATCGACTCCAGAGGGAGGTGGACCGCTACACAGCTTTGTCTGTGATGGCATAGGCTATTAATGTGGAGGAGTACCCAGTACCTGGGCATCCACAGTGACAACAGACTGAACTGGAAGACCAACACAGCAGTTGTATACTAAAGAAATGGGATGAGTGGGCTCTTTTTCCTGAGGAACCTGAGATCCATCAATGTGTGCAGCAAAATGATGGAGATTTTCCATCACTCAGTTGTGGTGAGCACAGTGTACTTTACTGTGGTCTGCTGGGGGAGCAGCATCGCAGCTGGAGACACCAACAGACTGACTGAACTGATCAGGAAGGCTCTGTGATTGACTGTATCTTTTTAAACCACTACACACTCTATAATACAATATATCTGTCATGCAGTGTCATCTACCAGATAATGACATACTATTATTATTATTACTATTATTATTATTATTATTGTGATTATTATTAATGCAGTGAAAGGAAATATGAGTATTTCCCATTTCATTTCTAAGAAATGGGATTTGAGCGGAAATTAGGCTTCTGCAAAGGATGTGAAAACCAAATATTTAACATGGTACGTGTATGTCAGACTCTAACTGTTCAGCCGCTTAGTGGTTGTAATTTTTGGCAGACATGTTTTCAGCATATGGATTTTTTCCTCTTAGCTAGTAGCAGCTCTTGGCATGAGCTGAAGGAGGTATTCAGGCAGACATTCAGTTTAAGAGCTTGGTAAGAATAGGAATGCATTGTAGGAGCTGTGTAGGTACGCATCAGGGTGTGAAAATCACTTGTCACTTACACCGCTCGCTCCTCCAGCAGACTTCCCAAAGAACCTGATAAACGATCAAACAAAGAATAGGCAGAGAAACCCATGGCTGATGGAAGAAAGCGTATGAGTGAATGCTGGCAATCAGGATTATGACGAACATGTCGCTAGCACAGGAAATCTCCCACATGGGCAGGATTTCAAAGTAGAAGGGGTCTACATGTGGCAAGCCTCGGCTCAGAGCCATGTGCGAGTGCGTCTTATTGAATCTGTATCACTGGGTCACCGCTATAACCCAGATGTTTGGCAGGCTTAACAACGGACTCCTCATTAGTAAGAGAAACAAGTATGAGAAGCAGTTTTTTAAAGCTTTCAGAACTGCCATAATTATAGGTTAAGAAAAGTACAGGACCTGCTCATTTAAAAAAGAAAAAAAAACCTTCTGTCCTGTGCTATGTGGATAGAAGGAGTAGGATGAAACCAATGAAAGGAATGTCTGTTACCTTCAGTTCACCAAATTAAAGCTGAATTTGTTCATGTAACTTAATATGTTGATTGTCTAGATTTTGCTAGTTGAAGCATGACATCATTTGACGTAGGAATTAGTAAGTGATAAAACCTTTAGAAAAAAAGTCTATGCTTGGCTTTAATAGTATACATAATACTTTGTATAGTTCATAAATAGATGCTTTTATTCAACCGACCCCAGGGCCAAGTCAGCTCACTCTCCCTGGACAGTATTTACTCTTAGGGGAATAATTTTGTATCTTCTAGATATTAGTTTTTGTTTCTTTTGCCTTTTTTAAAAGTCTAAGAAGTTTGTAGTGCAGTAAAAATAAGTAAAAGTACAAGCTTTTGTTATTTGCCCTTTTGAAACCCATTTTAAGATACAGACATCATTTTTAGTATGATTATTATTATTTGTATTTATTATGTAGATAAAGCTCATGTGTAGCATTCATTGTTTAGTAAATCCACTTAAATGTTTAATAATAAACATGTTGGGGGTTTTTTTTATTAAAAGTTCACAAACCACCATCTATTCAAATTGTTATGTATTTAAACTCTTATAGCCGTTACTGCAGTATACATAGCAAAGATATAATATAATGGCATAATATTTAGAATCCCCTCATATCATTCTGTATGTTGTCAACACAAACAATGGCAGCAGGAAACATTACTATAAATAACTCTGTAACGTTATTGTCACTTATTATTATCAATCTCTTTGATCTATTTTGTCAGTTTTCAATCAATAAATCTTTAAGTTGACCTGGAAGACCTTGGTGATGTAAACCAAATTTTAATGGCTTGTTGATGTGACCCCACTCTACATCCCTACAGAGTTTTATCAAAATTCATTCAAAACTTTTTGAGCTATCGAATGTTTACAGAGTGATGACACACATGCAAATGCTATCAAAATCACAAAGTGCTTAGCAGAGATAATACAGATAAAATATAAAAATTATAAACATTCATTAATTTTATTGACAATTAAAAATCAACTTGGTCTATGCGGCTTTTACAAAGTTGTCTTCAACCTTGTGAAACATTAATAAAAGAAAATACAAAGCCATTTGATCGCCTGTTGTCGACTCTTGTATCACAACAATGTGTCTCTGTCTCTCAGGTGAATATGCTTATTGGAATCGTGGTGTTTAACAAGCTCATGTCTCGAGACGGCATCTCAGACAAGTCTAAAAAGCAGCGTGCTGGGTAAGTTGCCTGCACTTCACACACATACTTACACATAGACACACACACACGTCCATCCACGCACATTTGCTGCATTAGTTACATTTTCCCTGCTGTCAGACAAAGTTAGGAGCACAAAGTATTCATGGCAATTAACTAGAAATGCTTTCGAGGGTCTGAGCACGTACACCTACCTGTACATCTGTGCCTTCAGTAAAAATTATACAAAAAAAGGAAAAGAAACAGAAAAAATATGATCCAATTTGGCAACAAAATGACAAGACATCTGCTGCGTTTTGTTGCTCTGTGCAATGCATTTTACTTCGCTTTAACATACGCTACCCATCTAGTTTTGTGTGCTTGAAGTGACATCGCCGAATAAAGTGGATGTGAAAATCAATGGCAGATGGAAATCTAATTACATTCAATAAATACCTGGATTATGTGGATTAAACCTTATATACTATTGAATCCTAACCCACACATACACACAATATACAGGCATATGTCTCTAGCTCCACCGTTGTTTGTATTAAAGTAGTTCGCAGCGCTCATCATCTTTCTCATTCTGAATGGCACTCCCACATCTAAAAATCCATGTTTTAATTTTTACACCTATTGATTCCATCATTTGTTCTCCTTTTTTTTCTTTATGCCGTTGCATTTCCTCCAACGTCTATACAGTAGTGCACAAATGGAACTTTTAATTTGTTCGTAGCATCAAGGGTTAACAGTACAGCTCTGCTCTCCAGGGGGTTGATTAGCTTTTGTTACCCGGTCATGCAACCTGAGATTAAACCAGTCGCTGTGTACAAACACACCTACGCGCACACGAAAATACACACGAACAGGTGTATCCTCCTTTGTCGCATGAAAAGTCCTTGGCCTTATCCGAGCAGTAAGCACATTTCGTCCCCCGATTCTCAGAAGTGTGTTCACAGAAATAAAATGCTCACACATACACACATACACACACACGCACCACAGTTGGTCGTGTTGCTAACAGGACAAGCTGTCATTAGCGTAATGTATTTCCTTATGAAGCCATGGGGATGTGGCTGGCAACAAGGCAATGAGCTGTGCTGGGACGCTAATGTAGCATAGCAACATACTGCCCCATCATTCTCTGCTTGCACGTATATACTCAAATTCAGTATATACACACGCAAGCGTGCGCACAATCACTCTCTCTTTCTGTCTGAGTGGTCGACTTTAAGTAAGTAAACAACCAAAGGAGTCAGAAAGTTTCACTTTTGCTTTTGCACAGTGATATAAAAAAAAGATAAATTAAAAAATTATATTATACTTACTTATATATATCTATATATAAATATATTTATATTATATATATATATATATATTTATTATATGAAAACACACACATAGACCTGCTTGCACTAGCCGGGGAATATATTTTTGGTACTTGCACCGGTACTTCCTGTCTGCATCACTGTAATCTGTTAATCCACATGATTGCTGTAACATTACAATGTCCGTCTCTCATGTTCTCTCTACTTGCTCTGAATCGATCTTTGTATTCTGACTGTTTTTCATTGCTGCTACTTTTTAAGATCTGGTTTTAATTTTTCCTTTCTTTCTTTTCTCCTTCCCCCTTTCTCCCCTCTCTTTTTTTCTTTTTATTTCTTCTCTTTGTTGTGTCCACTTTCTCTCTTTATGTTTCTTTTTCTTTACTTTTTCCTCTTGGTTATTTTGCAACTGTGACACCGGCACATTCACCTGTTGTCATAACTGGTACTTGTCCTTCCCACACATCCCACACCCTTACCTACCTCCTGTCCTCTTCACCTGGGTGCGTGCGTGTATGTGTTTATGTATGTATGTCTGTACATGTCCTAAAGTGTCCCAGCGGAGGCGCGTAGCCGACTGCTCCTGAAATGCTCCAAGTGTGGCGTGATCTCAAGCACCGCTATGTCCAACTCGACTGCCAGCAGCGCCATGTTAGTCCATCTTCACCTCTCTCTCTCTTTCTCTCCATTACCCTCACTCTCCTACATCTTTTGTAATCTCTGGCTTTCAGTTATGATGCAGGATCTGGCTAAGTAATGAAAGGAAAAACACCTGCTCTACTATCGCTGCAATTTAATGAGATCATGTTTTCATCCAAAGTGGTATTTCCTCTGGTTGCACTCAGCAAATCTGACCCCTGTCAAGCTATATTTGTGAATCATATTTGGAAGTTTGTTTTAATCATGTTTGTGTTACGAAATGTTCAGAAAGGTTGTTAATGAAGCAAACTATTTGGGTAGTGTACTTGCATAAACATGGATTTCATATTAACCAGATCAAGTAAATATTCACAGTAACACACGTAATATCACGTACATGTGAGAAAAAGGAAAACCTGACTCCAAGTTTAGTGATATAAGTTTGGTGGTGTATGTGTTTAATAAGGTGTCATTCTTATTATAATGACAAAAAAGAGATTTCTCTCTGTGAACACATAAGCCCCACCCACCTTCTGCTTTTAATGGGCAGGCCAATCAGAAACAAAGGCCAAGTAAGACAAATAAGATTATTTACAATTCAAATCTCATTGTAACCATTAATAAAACTGATTAAAAAGAAATACATAGACTGCTACTAATAACAATAATACTAAAAATCAAGGCAATAAAATAAAATAAAAAAAATCACTTAAAAAAAATCTTAAATGTGTTAGATGTGTTTTCTTTGCTGAGCTTTGCTAAAAAAAGATTCATAGCAGTTTCTTTTCAAACACTGGATTGTTTCTTCTGTTCTGAGGATTGTTTTAATGGTTTCATAATCAGGAAGACCTATAAACTTTCACACTCAGGGTTATTTTTCATGTTTTTCAGTTGCCTAGATCCTTGCTAAAGACAAGTCGACTTTATCGTTACATATTGGCTCAGAAAAGAAGTAGAATAGCAAACTTGTATGAATTTCCAAACATAGTCAGGGGTGCACATAAGTGGTGCGCATTTGCTGTCAAAATAAAAGACCCGCACCAGATAAGAAGTTATAACGCGCATTTGCGTACATAAGATTTTCTGGAGGAGGACACACATTTGTTTAGAACTCTTAAAGTTGTCGAATAAGTAAGCTCCTTTAAGCAATTACTTTGGTTTTCCTCCACCTCCAAAGAAATGTCAGAAGGAGTCCGAACCGCAAAAGAAGCGCGTATTCTCGGAAAAGTGTTTGCAGGAGGTGAGCTGGCTTCAAACAAATGATGAACGCACAGAGATGTGGTGCAGAATATGCCATGAAAATCCCACTCTCGTGGATAAAAACAGTCCCTTTAATATGTACGCAAACGCTCGTGGCAACTTCTTATCTGGTGCACGTCTTTTATTTTGACAGCGAATGTGCACCTGCGGACCACTTATGTGCACCCCTGACTATAGTCATTGTTCCTTATACCTAAGTCTCAGACATATACAAGTCATATTGGACTTCAGGTGGTTTACTTACTTGCTTACTTTGACATTTACCTGACAGATTGTCACTAGCTCGACTGTATAAGTTGTCAAGGCAAAGAACACACACACCCACACAAGATTGATTTATTAGTGATGGGCAAAAATGCTACTTTAATAAGTAAAACGTAGGATCAGCTTTATTAGTCTTATGGAACATTCAATTCATATGAATCATACCTCTTTTTTACTCTCATTATTTTTATTTCTTGTATGTAAAAATTTCTTGGAGTTTGTTGCTCTGCTGGATTATGACGTTTGGTTACAACCGCAGTCAGCACCACAGGGAGTTCACAGGAGAAGAGCAGATACATCACTATAATTTATTGTTCTTTATTCGCTTTTGCTCATTTTGCACATCAACGGGGACTTGCGTATTTTTCCATGTAGCTAGACGGAGCTGTCCGTCTTTTTTATTGGACAGTTATAAAACCGTGAATATGTGCTCAGACAGCATGAACATTTTAAATTGGTGTCTATCTTTGTGCTGTTACAGTCAGACACGCACACACATTCTTGTACCTCAGAAACCTGATGTCAGTACTTGTCAGTGACTTGTCTTCCCCCTCCTCGGTGGGCTTCTGCCCATTGTCTTCACAGTCTACCAGCATGGCACTTAGTGTGCATCAACTATGTAATTGTGAGCAACTGCCAGTCCAAAACTATCTACATGATTACACATCATCTTCCATTTATCGGTGGGAATATTAAGTCTGATTCAAATCCCAGTGTGCCAATCAGTTTCAAATTGCCCACTGCTGTGAAACTATGCCTCATCTCCATGTTTACATGAGTGCATGTGTGTGAGAAGTTGAGTTATGTGACTTACCAGATATGACTCATCTGGTTTGGTTTGAGACTGAATCCCTTGTTCATTCCCTCCTCCTCTGCCCCGACCTCTGTCTCCTTCTTTCCTCTCTGACAGGGCATCTCTGTGGAGCTCCTGTGTGGTTCTCCCGCTGCTAGCGTTAACCTGGATGTCAGCGGTCCTGGCCATAACTGACCGGCGCTCCACACTCTTCCAGGTGATGTGTCTCACAACACCAATGCATGCAAGACACTCATCTGTAGCTTTGAGACACCATGGATAAGCTGCTTTTAAATGGTGGGAGCCCTCTGACAGTTTAAGAAACACCTGCTGTGTCACAGATATAGATGAAGTATTTGCACATTCACTGCTGTTTGTTCTTGAATAGTCAAACGATAAAGATGCAGTGTTGGAAATAGTTATCTGATCCCCTGCTGAATTTGTGAGTTTGCTCACTTATGAAGAAATAAACAGTCTCTATTTTTATATCAGTAGAGCGATAGAATATCAACCAACAATCCAGAAAAAAGCATATCAGATAAAGTTATAAATTTATTTTCATGTGACTTGGTGAAATAAGCGTTTGATCCCCTAAACTTAGAATTATGGCTTTCACAGATAGGCTGTGTGCAGATCATATATAATCAATCAGTCAATCAATTATAGATAGTCCTGATCTCCACTTGTTATGTGCATAAAGCACATCGGTCCACTTAATCAGTTTTTTCCATCCCAACCTCTCCACAACCAAAGAGCTATAAAAGGACGTCAGGTCCTTTTATAGCTGAAATGGGCTAAAAGACCAGTGGCAAAAAACTTGGTGAGAATGTGGCAACTGCTGGTGGAAATATTCAGAAATGGAAGAAATATAAAATAATCATCATTTGTCCTCGGTCTGGAGCTCCGTACAAGATCATGGCTCATAGTGTGAGGATGATCATGAGATAGGTGGTGGATCAGCCTAAACCTACACGGGAGGAGCTTGTTAACCCTTTACAGCCGATCGGAGCGGGCACGCTCCATTTTGCGTAACTATTTTTAAATCCCGGTAGCTCTGCAACCACGTAAGCTAGCGCAATAATTTTTTTTGCATATGAAACCGGAGGAGTTGTACTTACATCTGATGCCATTAGCTTGTCCTAGGTCACAGTTTCCTTCCACATATAGCTTTGCAAAAACTGCATAAAAATCACTTGCAGCAACAAAAACATGATATTCCAGAAACACGCTTCGCCGATCCGATCAGCTGTTTGTAACACTTCCTACGTCCATCAGCGCGAACTATCACATGACCACATGACCTGCCCGAAACCGGAAGTGACGTCATTTTGCAGAAATGTAGTTTTTTTACGATCGGGGCCTTATGAGCCTATACGGGTGTTTTTAAAAGTTATGTTTGAGTTTATGACTTTCTGTGTCGTTTCTGGGATGCTTAGGACTCACATTGCACTGCTGGAAATAGTTTATTTTGATGCATATGCTGTTATTTTGCAAATTTGCACTATAATATTTATTTTCGTTTTTCCTGCAGTGTATAAAAATTGGTGTATTTCAAAAATAAAACTATGAAGACACTCAAAATAAATTTCCTTTGGTGGGAAACTAGTTTGTGCAACTTTTTTGTATTTACAGTTTTGAGGGATGAGCCTCTTAAATTTCTCTAACTAGAAATATATGTTAAAAAAACAAAAACGATTTTCAATTTTTTTGTAGTTTATTGCACTTTTTTGCAATTTATGTAATTACTATGCACCTAATACAGACATATTATTAAAATTTAGGCTGTAATGGTTGTATTGATGTATAGCAACTTGAAATGCTCCCAAAAATGGCTCCACAGCATGTAAAAATATAATATAAGCTCTGGCGGACTTGGTTCTATGGTAGGTCTTAAAGGGTTAATGATCTGAAGGAAGTTTTACCGCAGTCACCAAGAACACTACGGATAACACATTCCCCAATAATGGACTGAAATGTTGCAGGATTACAAGTCCCCCTGCTCATGAAGGCGCATCTTAAGTTTGAAAGAGAAAAGTTGAGCATGACCCAAAGAACACCATCCCCACAATCAAGCACAGAGGTGGAAACATTAAACTTTGGGACTTTCTGCTAAGGGTACAGGAAAACCTCACTGCACTGAAAAACCAGTGGACAGGGCCTCATTCCCTAAGCCAGAACACTGAAGGTGAATCGTGGATCCTCCCTTAGTTATGCTGCAGTAGGTGTAGGCTGCTGGGGGATTCCCATGATGGACTGAGTATTTCTTCTTCAGTCACCTTTCCTACTCATTATGTGTTAATAGACCTCTCTGCAGTGAATCATACTTGTTATTAATCTCTGGCTTTCTTCCAAAGCATGTATTTTATCCTACCTTCCTTCTCACACCCCAACCAGTCACGGCAGATTGCCTCCCCTCCCTGAGCCTGGTTCTGCTGGAGGTTTCTTCCTGTTAAAAGGGAGTTTTTCCTTCCCATTGTTGCCAACATGCTTGCTCATAAGGGAGTCATTTGATTGTTGGGTTTTTCTCTATATATACTATTGTTAGGTCTACCTTACAATATAAAGCGCCTTGAGGTGACTGTTGTTGTTGTGATTTGGTGCTGTATAAATAAAATTGAATTGAATTGGATGGGATTTCCAGCATGACAATGACCCAAAACATGTCTCCACAGCAACAAAGTAGTGGCTAAAGAAAAAACAAGGTAAGGTCATGGAGCCCAGATCTCAGTCCTGTCTGTGGAGGAAGCTGATTCTTCCTCCAAACAACCCAAAGCCAAATTTAAAGGGTTTAGAGTTTCTGTAAAGAGGAATGGACCAAAATCTTCCTGAGATGTGCGCAAACCTGGTGACTAACTACAAATAAATGTCTCTGGTCAAATACATATTTCACTCAAAGAGATGCAAATGAGTTTCATGTGGTTTTTTTCTGGATTTTTAAGCAATATTCTGTCTCTCACTGTTAAAATGAAACAACCATAAAAAATAGAGACTTTTTGTTTTTCCCAGTCTACATGTTCGAGTCTCATATCTTGACAAATTAGCAAATTTGGGGACAAATAATATCATGTATAAATAAAGAACCGGCCAGTGGAAAAATAGGTCAATATGAAAATAATCTTATTTTACTTTAAAACAAGCAATTCCCACTGTCAAGATCACAAGTAAGCAACACAAACAGTGAGTGAGAGTATTGACTGTGATGATTTATTATGAATAATCATGACTACTGACTCATTTTGTTATTATATGAGGGTTTCTCTCATGATTCATTACAACACAAAATAACAATAGAGTGGGTGCCACAGCACCATGTGGTACACTACAGAGAATTGAAGTGCGGATATTGTAATATTTTAAATTTTGCACTCTCAGCTAATTTTACTTTTGAAGGCAACAAGTACGATACAGTTAGTTAATATGTGCTTGCATTTATTTCATTCAATGGTTTGTTGAAGTTTAAGCATTTGCACAGTAATATAAAACAACTTAAAATTAAGGGGGATGCCATGGTTTAAAATGTTTTAGAACCACTGCAGTATTAAACAAATGTGCACTAACTAACAGGAGCATCTCATTTATCTCCTCTAGGTTCTCTTTGCCGTCTTCGACTCTGTTCAAGGCTTTGTTATCATCACCGTCCACTGCGCCATGCGCCGAGAGGTGAGTCCAGTCTCTTCCTCCCCCTCCTCCTGTTGAGCATTTGTTGTGTGGATGCCACGCATTTTTTGAATTTATTCTAACTCTGCAGCACACAGTGAACTCGGAGATAGTCGCTGGCTTTGCTGGGATGCCGGGATTCATTTTCTTAAATGTCACGTTAGCTTCTGGGGTCAGTATGAAGTCACGTCAGAACACAAGCGGATCAGACGCGAGAAGGATTAGCACGGTATTCATGTCCTGTGCTGCGGCACTACTTCTTCATAATGCAGTAGGATAGTGCGGCATTGTCCATCTGATCCAAGTCTGCTTTAAGGAGCTTACTATGATGCTGTATGAAATAAGACGATAAGTCCCTAACTAATAGCCCCAAGTGCCTGTTTGCCACAGGCTTTACTGTGTCCCCAGGGATCCCGGATTTTAAACTCATTATGGACATACATGTATTCTTGCCCTTGAGACAGACAATGGCACACATGCCAGTGTGTGTGCACTTATTCAATATGGCATCACTCACAACTGCTCTGGCTACAATTAATGGATTTTACAATGTCATCAGTTTTCCATAACTGTAAATATGTCATCTGTTTCCGATGCATGTACGCGGCGCGCAACGCAACCTCTGTCAAAGAGATCATTATGATATTGAACGAACTGCATACTGTAAGTGAATTTTTAAATGCTCTGAATGCTTAGCTGCATTAAATCAATATCACAAAAGCGGCAGGGATCAGGGTACCGTAAATCCAGGAATTATTTATTGTAAATGTATGAAAATCCTCTTGCAAGAGTGAGCGTAAATCCTTCGTAGCTGCAGAACAACAGACAGAGGGGAGTGCCGCAACGGAGGAAGTAATAGAGGGAGGGTGGGGGGGATCAGGATGTATTACAGTGCAACAAAAACAGAGAGAAGGTAGCATAAAGTGTGATATTATGTAAACGGCAGAAAGGGGAGCGTCTTGTGATGGAGGAACTAAGTTAAAGTTAGGTGGTGAGGAAGGGAACGCACGCAGAGATCTGTGAGAGGAAACTGTGATTTAGAAGCGAAGCAGGGGATGATAGTAGGGGAGGAGGAAATAGAGAGGAATGTGGAAAGAGAGAGAGAGAGGTAGGTATCCATAGTGGGGTATTTCTCTTTGAAGTAGAAATGAGGTGCATTGGGTGCCAGTGCACACACTCACATACACACAAACACTCGCGCACTAACACAGAACAGGCAACAAAGGCCACTGAGGATGAGTATGGATATAAAAGGAAATAATAAACAAAATGAAACAATGGAGGGGATAAACCAGTCCATGCAGACGTGGACGCAGTCCACTCGCGTACATAGACGAGGAGACCGCCCGATGTGCTGCTACTTCCTCAGCAACTAACCAGGATACCTGTAATACAGATCGCGATAGGGGGGGGATTTGTTCTTTGTTACAAGGAGCGGCCCTTTGACAGCGCGCTGGTGTGTGTTTACTTAGATACAGTATGTGGGAGGATAAGGAAAAAACAGCATAGCACAGGAAAGGCCTCGGGTTTAGAACATCTACAGTACATACCGTGCTGTTAATTTTAATTAGTGCTGTGAACAGTAATCACTAGGCTCAAATTTTTCACTTTCAAAGTATTCTATGAGCTTTCTATACCGCTCCTATAACTGTTATATAATCTGCAAGCCGAGTTTCCTCATGAACAATGGGACTTTTTGCATAAGTTGGTATTCACCGTACACTAAAATGAATGATATAAATGAAGCATGTACGTTGTTTAAGGAGCATGGTCCCCACGCTCCAATGTTTGCCAAACTAACTTAAGGAAAACTTCCTCCACTAACTTCTTTCCTTTGCATCATCTTTTCCTCTCCCTCATCGTCCTCCCCGCCCCTCCTTCCCTCTCTCTGTTTCCACCCTACCCTCTCCCGCATCCCCCTTCCAACCCCCAGGTGCAGGACGCAGTGCGCTGTCGAATGGGGGGATGTAAAGACGACAGCGAAAACTCACCAGACTCCTGCAAGAATGGACAGGTGCAGATCATGGTGAATAGCACTCCATTTCATCCCACATTGCAGTCCATTTGCCTCAGACTAACATTAACCAGGCTGAAGCTTTTCCCCGCGAGCTCCAATTCCAGCAGAGCGAAGCATGATGCCATTATAGACGTGATCAAACTCGCACCTGGCTTTCTCGTTTTCTCCTTAACCATCTTTACCTTAACAGGGGTTCATGCATTAAGCAGTGTCTTTTTTTTATATGTGACATCATCCCAGAAAAATGAAATTTCACTTGAAGCTTGTCTAGTTTCCAGCCTGAAACTAACGTCTGCTGTTTCACCTACAGTCCCCTGCTATTATATCATTTCATTGTCATTTGCTGTTAAAACATATTCTCACTCCCGTCTTTTGACATACGAGCACTGAAAGACACCCGACAAACTGAGTTGGACTAACCTGCGCATTGAAATAAAGCTGTTGTGAAATCGTCCGGTCCTCACCAGGCATCAGTGTGTGACAACTCGGGAGTGGGAGCTTGTTGGTCTATACATCACAGCCTCTAATCATATTTTATCACAACAGACATTTCAGCACTTTTATGTTCTTCTAACTGAAAGTCCTTCATCTTTTTTCTTTTTTCTAAAAGACCGCAGAGCTATAAGCTGTAAGGTTATTGTGTGCGTTCCAGATGTTATTAATAGTGTGATAAATCATAGAGACTTGACCTGCCCCAGCAATGACAGTATAGTAACACCACAACCATGAGAGAATGAGCAGCCCTCATCTCTATTCCCTTTATTTCTCCCTCAGACCTGTTTGCGGTAACGATTATGGGTTTCTGAATGCTCCTCTGAGGTTTTCAAGATTAAACTTTGAAGCCATCGCTCTGCTCAATGAAGCCATCGCGCCACACTCTCACTCTCTGTTTTCCTTTACAGTCTAACTGGAATGTTTAATTTTGGGTAAACTGTATTATCATGGTGTGTGTTGGCTCATCAGTGTGCCAGCGACAGTGCATTAGACAGACAGGTGCTCTTGTTTTTTCTTAACTTTTCTTGTCTAAATACGTGCGACTTTGAGGATGTCTTTTCAGACTGCACATATGCACGGAGAGCGGCTGTGTGAGAGACGCAGCACCCTTGAGAACATTAATTGTGATGGATAATTTGACGAGGTTGCCACCAGTTATAGCTGCATCATAATTACAGTGAACACCATTCTCTCAGGTGCTCTTGGTATATTCACAAATCTCATTAGCATGTTAAACCCTTGACATTTAGAGTCGGCGTAAAGATGTAGAACTGCAGCTACACCCTCTTGTTAAAACGGAATCAAAGCTGTCTCTGGAAATTTATTTGATTAGCTAAATTCTGATTAAAAATCAGCACTGTTCTTTGCAAAGCTGGTTAGATGTCCTCTTTTAACATTTCAACTTTATGTTTTTCATTAATTCTTTTTTTATATATATCACCAGAAATGTGCAAATGTGAGCGCCTGTGGAAAGCAGAGCGGGTCTTTGCGTTACGGCACATCACTGTGCTTATCAGGTTGCCACGCACAGCCGCTCCCACCAGCGTGCCACCAGACATCCCAGCAAGGCTGTTACCACAGTCTGACCCATGGCAACCACAGCCACGCATTGAGCCATGTTAATGAGCATACCCCCATCCTCAACAACAACCATAACCACGCCCATAATCACATCAGCAGCCAACCAGTATGTAACCAAAAAAAAACCATTGTTGGTAGAAATAGTCAAATCCGTAAGTAGAAAAGGTGCAATATGTAAAGCAACATTTATTAATAAATGCTACAGGATTACTTGAGCGTTTTGACAGGTTCTTCCTGAGAGATGGATGAGAAAATGTTAACCACTCAACACTCACTGCTTTGGAGCTTTCTGGAGCTACTGCAAGCAGTCTCTTAACTTAATGGAAAGATGGGAAACAGTGAAAACCCTACCATTACTGTGCTCTGAAATAGCAAAATAAGCCCAACCCAAGAAAAATACACTTTAGGATTTGTGTGTGTATATATATATATATATATACATATGTATACATACACACACTGTTGGACAGTAAAGAGCCATATTGTACATTAGGAGATACAGTGGTTTGGTACAGTTGCCACTGTACTCTTGATGGGTGTTCTTGTGCTTTAGGGAGATCACCCCTGGTGACATTTTTGAAATGTTACAGAAGTAGATATTTCTAGATTTAGACATTTCTGTACCTATGCTTGGAAATGTACTCAGATTTGTATACCCATATGGAAAAGATATATATAAATCTTATAAAGTTTGTCTGTTCTGTCTTGTGTGAAACTTGTATGAAAAGCATATAAGAGTGAAAACAGATATAAGATCCCTTGAAAAATTATATAATGAAACTTGTATGTTTTGGATACTTACTAAAACAATGTATGAAAGTAATGAGAAAGTGGCCACTTTCATGAGTAAATCATATAAGCCTTATATGATTTACTCGTGAAAGTCGCCACTTTCATGAGTAATCACATATAAGTTTTTACTATTTCTTTTCCATATGGGTACAACCTGTCTTGTCCTATTACAAGATCGTATATGCATATTTTGACATTTTAAAAAGGTACATAGAGGTCCAATAATTAGCCCTTAGTTATGTTTTAATGTACATTAAACCTGTGAAGACTAGAGCCTGACAAAAATACAGCCATAGGGCCAATATCTCAGCTTTTTAAAATCAATAAGCATCAGTGTCCGTCTTAAACACTTATATCGGTTGAGCTCTAGTAAAGACCCAAATTGCCTTTTGCTGTACCCCTGTGCACTCTGATGCTATAAGCTAACTGTTAGCAAGAAGCAAAGTTGTAGTTTTACCAAAGTTTGTGTTTCTTACATATCGCACCTTTAAGTGTATGTACTGCAGTAATAGTTGTGATGTCTAAGAGACTTGACTGACTACAGGAACGTGTACGTTAACGTGTGCTCCCTCAGTATATGCTGCAGTCTGTTCCCTTATATTATTTAGTTGATGTTGATGACTCAGTGTACGTAACCTGTGAGGCAGTTGCAGAGAGAGTGCATAATGGTTAGAATAAAGATGATTTGTTTTTTTTTTCTCAATGTGGATGAAAGAGACAAAAAGAGAGGAGAGCTTTGGTTTTTTGTTTTTTTTTTCTTAATATTCTCATTTGTCCATTTAGTAGAGAACCATTTATGGTGCTGCGGGTGATTTGCGTACTAAGAGCTTTTCTGCTCCTTTGAGACCTTTGCAAACTCTCTCATTCTCTCTTTCAGTTTTTCATTTCCGCCCTTTTCCTCTTCTCCTTGCCTCTCTGGCATGCCCAAACTGTCTGAAATCTGTAGTTTATTATCCAAACAAAGGCTTTTGTAAGTGAATCCCGCTGAGGACGGGACGAGGCTCTATAGTGAGAAATGGGAGGATCGCATCTGCATAGCAATAGGCTTCACTTTTACTAAAGTTCAGAAAAACTTGAGTGGTGGCCATTCTGGAAAGAGAGCTTCTTCATTCAACTCACCAGCCTCTGGGTTTCTTTACCCCAAGGAGCAGTGCCGCCCTGCATCGCTCGAGTGAAGTACGAGATATCAAAGCAACTAAACATCAGATTTGGTTGTGCCCGAAGTACCTTATCTACATAAAATCTGAATATTGAGTACAGGTTAAAAGCAGTGTTGTGTGTGAGTTTGTGTTTTCTTCGCTCCTGTCAATGGATTGCATTCTAACATTATATATATATTTTCTCATCCTTGCTAGGAAGCTGCAAAGTTTTGCTTCAGCTGGAACAGCAGATAATAGTTTAGCTGCTGTGTAAATTTCTGTCCCTGTTTCCATTCAGATGATAGCGAGGTGACTGATGAGGCATACAGAAGCATTACGTACCTCACAGCCTTCTGCTCGTCTCTCTCAAAGTCTGTTTTGGATATGCTGCTGTGAACTGATAAACATCACGAAAAAAGCAGCGGTTGTGTAGGCCTTAGACAAAATGTAGCTTTTTCCTCTGTTCTTTTTTTGGTTAGAAAAGGCGTTGGGATGAGTTCATTGCAAAGAAGGAAAAACTGAACATTTTCAGTGCATCTTTTTTGTTTTGTTTTGTTCTGTTTATGGAGAGGATTACTAATTGACTCACATAAAGTGGCAGATTGGGATCAGGTCCTTTTCTATAGAGTTAAATCAGAGCATGAGAGTCATTGGATACATCATATCCATTTGAGATCCAGTCGCTCGCTCGGACTCGTGTGCTTCCTGTTGCTCTGAATGCACAAATTAATTGTGCCTCCTCTCTCCCCCGCCGCCTACCCCGCCTTCTACGTCAGACGGATTTTGAGAAGGACGTTGACTTGGCTTGTCAAACAGGTGAGCTCTCCCTTCTACCTGATTTCGCTTTCCCTCCTTCTCCTTTTGTCTCCATTCTCTTCGCTGTTCCCTTGTCCCACACAGGATTAGCATTGCAAGCTGTTTCATTTTTAGCTTGCTGCCGCATGTGTTGATGAAATGACAGGAGATGATGCGCTACATCTCGGCGCAGCAAATTATTATGCCTTATCAATCACACTGATTCTGCCCAATAAGTGCTCAGCGAGCATATGTTTGGATGAGACTGTGCTTAATTGTGCATGATAATAACACTCCTCAATGTGTTCAGACCTGTTTCACTCGTTAGTCGACAATGCTCCTGTGTGGGTGTTTGGATGTGTTACAGATGTACCACAGTATAAGTGTGTGTTGTGCTTTGAAATATTAACAAAGAGTCACTCCACCCTCCCACCCCTCCACTCCCTCCCAAAACCCTTGCAGAGAGAGGACACCCATGTAAGTTTTGCACCTTACTGACCTAATAAATACTGCCTGATGTGTCCGTAAACTCTAAGAGCTCCTATAGACAAATCCAGCTGAAAGCCATATTCGTTTACTCCATCTATTGAACAGTTTTGGGGTCTGATTGTGTCTTTGCTGATGATGGCACCACCCTACATACTGTATCTATTTCTAGTGGGTGCCTTCCTATATTTTCTAGCCAAACTTTAAACCTGTACAAATAGCTCATCTTTCTTATCTTTCTGACATTCAGTACTCGTGTAGTAAAATGTTCCCCGGTTTAAAAGTAGACCATTCAATTCTGACTTGACGTATGTGTCAGCAAAGACTTTCTGAAAGTTTCACTCTAAGCAGCTTAGAGTTTCGAGGCCAAACATGATAAGCACGGGCGAGATCTAACCAAGAAACCGATGGATGCTACACACTCAAACACAAGAGAACTGCCATTGCATTGTAAATCATATGCCGCTTTATCATTTTTATGAACTTCATGTATTGAATAATACTTGAAACTAGTGACTGAACTTCTCGGCCCTGAACTTGTAGAATGTAGCTTCCACGTCTCAAAAATCAAGTCAGCAAAGGTTGACATTAAACCTGCCTTTCCTATCGCTATTGTCCCATAGACTTCCATAAAACTTTAGGTTGTATGGAAGTCTATGGGACACTAGCTCCTGGCTTTGTGACCGTTTTTATGACAACTTTATGGGCTAAATTGGTAGGTTAAGTTGTAAAATTATACATTATTATGAGCTACAAAATTAAAATCATCACCATTCAAGTGAAAAAAGAGAAGTATTGACTATATCCTCATCACCAGTCACATCTTTTTGGCCAGCGAGCATGCTGCTTTCCTCGGTTTCACAGTCAGATCAACCCCTCGGTTGTTACATCTGGTTTTCATAACAACAAGAAAGCGCTGGTTGAAAGCGCCTACTTAAAGCTTCACCAGTAGATAACGTCATTACATCGATCTCAGGCTTTACCTGGAATCTTTCTGCTAGGTTTAAACCAGTTAATCTGTTGTATATAACACGTATTCCACACACAAGACATTTGTGTTCTTTTTTCCCCCCTAAGGCTATGTAGTAATTAATTTCTGATCCTCTGGTCCTTTGAGACTAACTTCCACATTCATAGCGACTGCTTTCACTGCCCCCCTGACAGTGATTAATTTAAATATCCTTGCTTTCATTGTCAGTGTAAATGTCTTCACTTCCACTCTGCATCAGCAAAAAAACAGCACCGGTACTTTAGAACACAACACACACAAAAACAACACTGGATTCGTCTATAGGTCTTTCTCTGAGCCATCCACTGTTTGTTGGAGACGTGATGGGAGCAGATTGGTCAGATTTCTCCAAAACCTGTTCCAATCCAACCTGTCAGTTTGCACCAACGGGATGATGGAACAGAGGAAATGACAGTTGTAGTAAGCCAGTGTGCTTTTGCTGCATTCACCCTCAGCAGGATCCGGCTTCAATTTTTGATCAAATGTCTAGCCTGACATTCTGTTAAATCAATACAGCTTGTATGAAAACAGTCTGAGCTCCTACTTTGGTCTAAAAATTGGGATTTGGGGCCATGTAAATATCTACTCCTCTGATGGTGACAGAATGAGCATGATATCTGGCATGAATTTCCAGATGGTTTGATATATGTGTGTGTGTGTGTGTGTGTGATTGATGATAGCTGTGACAGAAGATTGTCTTTCATAAGCATGTCCGAATTAGTTATGCAATAACTCTTCTAGAAGTGTGGAGTGTCTGAGCTTCTCTTATGATTAATGAGCATGAAAACTAATTCACAGCCACTGCAAGCAGGTTTTGTGTTGTGCTATTAACAGTATTGTGAAACACACGCATACGTTAATGCTCAAAACACTTCCTCTAGTGCATATAGATGTACGTCAGTATGTGAAAGCAGGCAAGAGAAAAGCACTGGGTTTTACATAGCATTTTTCACCAAGGACATTACTCTGAGATTTAAGGTCACAGTGTCAGAAACAAAAAGTCAATCACTGTATACCAAGCACAACATGAGAAAATCACATTTTTCTTTAGAGATGTATTGTATCTTGAGGCTGTTTTATAGCTGCAAGTATATTTCAGTATCAGTTTAATTTAATTTATGCTGTCTGTCTCTGCGTTGCACACCTCTTGTCAGTTGTGTTCTCTTTGGAATTAAATATATTTATTCTCTTCCATTCAACATCTATTCCTCAACCCGATTACCCCCCCGCCCACCTTCTCTATTCACACCCACCTGTAAACTTTTCACCTTCACTATATTTCTCCTTTCACCAACTATCCAAATTCCTTCTCGCGTATCTCTTGCCTATCTTCCATTCTCTTTGCTGTCTCTTTCCAAATCCTTATGCCTCCCTCGTCTCACTGCAGTCATTTTCAAAGAGGTGAACACCTGTAACCCAGCCACTATCACTGGGACCCTTTCCCGCATCTCCCTGGATGATGAGGACGATCCTAAGCTGGCAGCCCATCAGGAGGGCGGAGTAGGGGTCAACTTCAGCACTCTCCCAGGGAACATCCCCCCTCCTAACCTTATTGTACAGGTACACAATTAAAGTTTCTAAACTTCCAAACAGATTAGCTCATTCATTTTTCAACTTCCTGCTGGACATTATATTGACATTAAATTTTGAACACAATTTTGAAGTTGAACACGACAAAAAGAGATGGAATGTGTCTCATCGTATGAAGTTAAGCGGGATTGCTAAAGAAATAAAAAAGAATATAGTTTATCGAAAATAATTCTGCTTGCAAAAAAACAATTTTATTGGGTTTTTTTTGTTTGTTTGTTTGTTTGTTTTATCTGCAAGGTTCCACCTCTGGGAGGCCTCAATGAGCTGAGTGAGACCCCCCTAAAGAAGGAAGTGAATGTGGACCAGCAGAGACAACAGGGACAGCAACGCGGCGGTGCTCCGATCTACCTGTGCACCGAGAGTGGCCTGGGCTGGGCTCGACCTCCGGCTTCATCCAACACCTCCCAGGACGGAAGTGCTGGAAGCGGAGGGGGTGGGGGAGACGGAGGAGAGGGGGGTGGTGGAGGAGAGGGGGACTACATGGTCTTACCTCGCAGGACAGTCACTTTCAAACCTGCAACACCCTCCTCCCAAGGAGGAGGCCTGGGACTGGGGGGTGAGGATAAGCCTCTCAACATTGCAGTGGAGGATCCTCCCTTCCCGCCACCTCCCTCTCCTCTGACCCTTCACCCGGCAGAGAGTGAGGCCTATCCGGCGGATTTTGTGCCATCCAGTGTGGGTGACATGAACATCACCATGAACCTCAACCGCTCCTTTGGGACGATCAAAACATTGCCCCATGGGCAGGGCCACTTGATGCCTCAGGGTGGTCTTGTGCACTCCCATGGAGGACATATGCATTCCCATGGGAATTCTTTGCAGCTAAAGCCGGGCCAGAGACCTTCAGTCAGACAGATTCTGACAGGGGGAACAACAGTGGAGAGAACCAGGACCCTGCCACGCAACCTGGGCAGCACCAATGCCAACACCAGCCTCTCAGCAGGATCCCTGGAGGTGGGTGATAGGTTGAGGACAAAGGGAATAAAGGCAACGCTGGTTGAGTTTTTTTCCACTGTCGCCCTGAATTTTACAGTGATAGCTATTCAGGTTGTGATAATGCAAGTAAAGTTATAAGTGGGTTGATAAAGAGGAGTGGAAGGATTCACAGTCATTAATGCCTGTGGAATCATTTTTTTTTTAAAAAGAAAAATTCAGATCCACTCATTGCATCGACCGTCCTCTCAAAACAAGTTCATTTACACCAGGAAAAGTAAGACATCTTGATCTATCTGACATTTCACTTAACTTTAGGAACAACTAGATGGTCTTCATTTCTAAACTAACTTTTATCATCAATCTATCAATACCAAACACGTGTAAAGAAGAAAAATGTCTATTCACATGCCTCATAGTTCCGTAAGTGCGGCCTTCAAACGTGTTAGTTCAAATTTCGTGAGTTTCTAATACATGCTGTCTATCTTCTACAGTAACAGTACACTGTGATAATAACACAGTTGTGTGCCTAAGTATAAGTCTGCTATAACAGCTGCTATTTTCAGATGAGTAGTATTTATAGCTGCTCTTTGAGAGGATGACCATTGAAATGAGTTATTCTCATAATGACAGACAGCTTCATATTAGTTTAGTGTCTCTGTATGAGTGATTTTAATATGTGTGTGATACCCCCCTCCACCTCCTAATGGTACAGGGCTTTGCAGCAGATGGACCAAGACTGACAGGATCAGAGTAAAAAAAATTCCCTGGTGAATGTCTTTCAGCCCACCTTAATTTTTGCAAACACTCACTGACATACTTTACATAGTCACATGCACAAATACACACTTTAGATCTTCCCTTAATGGCATCTTGCTGACTGCTGAAGGTTGATTAAAGACATGGAAGCAACATTTTCACTCAAAAAGTGAAAATACTTCACTCAGGGCAAAGGACTTTAAGGACGAGTCATTAAGACTCATAAAAAATCACTGTCAGATGAGTAACGAGTCCACTCATGAATATGTAAAAAAGAAGAAAAAAAAACTGAAGAGAAAGCGGATGTAATTTACTGCTACAATTTCACCCTGTTAGGATATGTTTGATTCGAAGATGGATGTCAGAGAGTGCCTCTGAGGATTAAATCCGTGTTTTACTTTCCAATTGCAACAGGAAGACGTGTCGTGGAAAGAATGTGAAAAAGTACTTAGGGTGTCAAATGTACTGTTGATTCAGAAGCTTGTATGTTTAAACTCCAAGTGATGTGTATCACAGTGTGAAAATGACTCACTAAGCATACTATCCAATAATCGTGCTATCGAAACCAGCAAGTTCAAACGAACAACACCGCAGCACCACCGTGCCATCTGAACAGCAAAGTGTAGAAGGACAGAATCCCATATGATTTTTGTATGAGTGAGTTAGCTATTGCTTTCTGTGTGTTTCCATCAAAACATGCAATATACTGCACACGTATATGCATGTTGCATGCCTGCCACATTGCAAAGCTAATTCAATCATGGAATATCTCTGTTTAAGGTAAGGATTCCGCGATAATAAAAGAGGGAATGGTTGAATTCTCAAAGGCAATAGGACATCCCGGGAGAAACTTGCCTCTCTATCTGTTTGCATTTCTCTCCGTTTTAAAAACCTTGGCCGCCGTAGCATCAGATCAGCAACTCTGCCCTATCAAAGAATGAATACTGCTTTTAACTAACTGTAGAGAGCAGCTCCTCTCCCTGCCAAATGCAAATCTGGCAGACAGTGAGAGCCAGAGAGGAAGTCAGAGATGGAATGTAATTCAGTGCAATGTCGGGGCCAGATGAGTTGGAAATGTCTGCAGCTGTTAAATTGGCGGCTTGTGTGCCACTCACTATAGCTAAAGAAGCACTTAAGATGAGAGCGGTGGGGTCCAAACAAGATTAGAGGATGAAACACATCCCTCACATGTTTGTGGCAGCTTTTTTAATCTGGATGTCTTCAACAAATTCTCCAAAAATAGCAGAGAAGACGATTTACACCAAGGCTGTAGCGATTGTATTTGAGGGTATGTGAGCCAAGAAATTATATTTCATTGTAATTCTGGGTTATTCCACTCCACTAATCTCATTACGTTGAAATAGGCTGAACAATTTGCCTTTTTTTCCCATGACATTTGTAAATAAATGTCTGTATCATGTTGGGCAGCCGGTGAATATTAGCCGTCCTTTTGTTACTGAACAATGGCACTGAAAGATCCACAAAGACACTGAGATCAAGAGAATTCTGTGGTGGTCGAGGGGTGGTCATTGATGCTTTCTTCTCTCCCCCTGCCCCCCTCCTCTTCCAGAGGAAAAGAGTACGGTACTCTGAACTGGACTTCGAGGTAAGATCTCGGACCTCATCCCCCCTGTCATCAGCCTGTCTCTGCTTTCTTGTGCTTCTGCCAGGACTTGAGTAACGCCTAGAGGAGTAAAAAAAAACAACGCATTGCTAAACCCCTTCCCTCGCTCCTGTGTCTCCCTTGCTCTCAGATCAGTGACCTGTTTCAGACTTAGCTTACATAGTATGCTGTTTCTCCAACATTGGCCAGTCAAGCTGCCCCTACCTACAGTCTGTCTTTATGAACAAGCGGATGTGTTATTTGAATCTGGAAACCAAACCTTCCAAACGACATGCACAGTTAAATCCAATGAGTTTGTCATGTCTTTTTTTGGGGTCCTGGTTGAAGAAACAGCAAAAGTAAAATGCTTCTTGTGTCTGGATAAAAACTAGTAATTCCGTCCTGGGTTGACACGTACCGTATGTGGCCGCAGTTGGTTTGCTGGTTATATCTGTTGGAACGAGATGGTTTGGCAGTGTCTGTGAGTATGTTTGTGTTAAAAATGACTCGAGTGTCCCGTGAATCGCCAGTCTCTATGCAATAAAATACAAGCCATCTCGTAACACTGCTGCCCTCCCTGTGAACTCCTTTGAGTATTGGCCAATGCAGAGACTGGACATTCACCTCCCGCCATGGACACATATCATTTAAACGTAAAGGGTATGAGTGAGGACAAGCTACTAACACTGATTACAGCTGATCATTTTACTTATCTGGCCTATTTATCTGGAGTCATCTGTGGCTTCTGCATGAACAAGGAAACTGGCTCTCCTTGAAAGCAACCCTTTTCACACCAACTGACTATTGATTTTTGAGAAAGAGACATAGAAGAACCTCTAAAACAGCAAAGTGTACACTTCTATGAGTTAATGAAAGGTAAATCCATTTTCAACCATGCTTTTTTTTCTCCATTGATAGAGTTGGCTCATCCCTTTAGACTGTCAAATACGAACTTCTTTTTTACGAATATACTGAATACTTAAACAAATTAGAAATCTAATTATGTGTTTCAGGAAAAGCAATACCTTATACTCTTAAGTTTATACTCTTTAGTATTTGACTTCAAGCTGGATATCTTGAAAGAAAGAGCATTCAATAAGAAAACATTGCGATCAATTTGGTATATCCCCTCTTTTATTTCGGACACTATAAAGTGGTGGGACCAGTTGCTCCAACTGGTATTTACTAAGCCTGGTCTTTAGTGCTAAGTTGGCTCCAGTCTTTAGAATGGACTTGGAAAAGTCGTGTGAAGGCAGGGGCTACTGTCTAGCAGGTACCAACTGTAACTGTACCAGTATAATGCAGATTTTGAATAAACCCTGGTCCTAACTAAGCCTAAATGTATGTATAGTCATAGCAAGATGGTAGCTTATCTTGCAGAATGACAAACTGGCCTAGCTGGACGAGCCTAGGTCCATTGAAGAACTTAGCTTAAAATTGCCCTTAAGCTCTGTTTGTGCAACCTTACTTCCAACCTTTTCTTTAATGCACCGGTGTTGATTGTTCTTTATTTTGTATGTTATATTTGAGATTCTTGAAAACCTAAAACTGTAGTCAGTCAAGGAGATAGTAGCACCTTCTAACTGAGCAGAGATGAGAGTACCCACTCTGAAGTAATTGGAGCCAGTGCTAAGCGCCAACTGGCCAGTAAGTGTGCGGGTGTGAGTGCTGGCATCCTGCCCCTGTGTCACTTTCAACCTCACAAGCTGCTTTGACGATTAGCTACCGCCGAGCAGCTCCAGCACTGCCCATTAGCACGGAGAGACAGCAGTGGCACTGACAAATGCAGTTCGCTGTCAGAGAATTACAGATCCGGGTTTAACTCCCTTCGGGACAGCCACATTCGGAACACAGGGATGGCAGTTTTTTGACAAATATAATTTCAGTGAGGGTAAGAGTTAAATTCTAGCCCATCTGTTAGATTTTTAATGAGTTTGACAAAAAAGAAATCCTGATTTAACAGGATCACCAGTTAGCAAGAACCAGGCTGTGACAATGGCATTTTTGTCACTCATTTTCACCAGATATTCATGTAAAGGACTCGCTTCTGCAGCACTCACAGTTGCCAAATTCTTAAAGACAGAGGAAGTGGATAATGGATGAGCATGAGCCAGCAATCGATCGACAGTGTCTCGCTCTAACCCCCTTCTCATGGCTGGCATCACTGCAGTCCCTCAGCATTTTACCCATTTTCATTCCCCCTGCCTGTCCCTACACGGCTCTCCCTCCCTTCATTCTTTTTTTTTTTTGTTTTTGGTTTGTTTCTATTTGCTTCATTTCTGCTGTCCCTTCCTTTCTTCCCTTCCAGAAAGTGATGCACACTCGCAAAAGACATTCTGAGCTGTACCATGAGCTCAACCACTCGTCCAAGTTCCACACCATAGACAGGTATAGCAGGGACCCAGCCATGTCCACATTCAAGGTAAGATCATTGCCCCGAGGCAGGATGGGAACCCACTGCACCCGTGCACCTCCACCTCCTATCCTATACAATACTTAAACCCCCAACGCCCCACACCCCCCATTCCGTGCCATTTCTGGGACGCAATAACTAGCTTCAAAGGAAGTGGTCAACAATGACTAAATATAATCAGCGCTGTGGTGGCGACATTGTATTTATTCGTAAATGCAGCTTTCAGCCAATTATAGGCATAAAAATTCCGAGCAAAGCTCCCACTCATTTACAAACATGAGGTAGATTTGAAAGCAGCTGTATTCATTATGGTTTCCTTTTTTCATGGCAAATTGCTGTCTTAGAAATGTGAAAACATTGTTTGCGCTAACAAGGAAATCTAAATGCAATATGAATACTGTATACAGTGTTTTCATTGCCGCTTGATTAATTCATTGTTACACTTATTATCACAGTCCCGAAGAACTGAGCATTAACTGCCTTATAAATATTTCTTTAGAGGCACATTCTGTTCCATCTTTCATACTGTAAATTACTTTTGTACCTGATGTAATTGGCCTGAACCTCATTTATTTTCACTCGTGCTCGGTGCCTTATTAAGAGCCTATCAAATGAGTTGATCGCATGAGCTTTTAGCAGAGGGGTAATCAATCAGAGCGGATTAATGAAATCCGAATGCTGCAGTTTTAATACCTGTGAAACTGTTTGTCACTCCTTACCAAACTATCTCACCACAATTAATTACAGGAAAGGGAAAATAAAAGACAAAGAAACAACAACAGCACATCTGTCCATACGCACAAATGGTTTCGTCTGTGCTTGTGTCGAACCGGCTAATGTGTCCGTTTAATTTTCTTTGTGCTGTATGGAAATGTTCTTTTAAGTGTGTGTCTGTCTGTGTGTCTGTGTGCCTCCACAGGCCACGCGGTGTGTGTCCATGGGGGGTGCCTGGGTGGGCACCTATGCACATGAGACAAAGACGCCTCCGTGAATCATTAATACATCATTAGCAGCAGACGAAAGAGTCCCCCGCTTGCTCCGCGCTGACCTTCAGAGGGCTACTTTCATTAAGATTTAAACACACGCGTACACGCCTGCATTCCACTCATCTGCTGCGCTTTAGTGCGTGGAGCCATGATGAGTTAGCCAACCTTGATAGGTGTACTTTCCCCTGGCATCGATGGTATGCTGGTTTCACATCTAATTTACACCGCCAGAGGAGGAACAGAGGCTAGTCTGACATCTCTCATATTCCCCATGCTGTGAAGACACACACACACAGAGGGAAACATGTTGCAGTTTCCCATTGCCAGAGCAGCGGCCTTTTACTTCACTCCTCATTTGCTCTGCGTCTTGATCAAGATTTTCAGAAGCGTTGGCTGACTCCACGTTCGCCCATGCCAAGCAACTACTTTATGGAGGAGAAGAAAAATGGCAGGCGCTCGCAAAAGAGCGAGCCATATATTAGAAGTCTGCGGCTCTTAACAACAGTTGCGCCGTAGCATGCTAATGTGCTTCAGAGGGAGCTCAGGTGTGCTTTGAGATTATGCCCGAAACGTTAAAAGAAGCGAGAGCAGCCACGAGTAATAGACGGCCCGTGTTTAAAATAATTAAGTCAAATCGGAGCGCGTATTTCCTCCTGGTTAATGACGTCACGCGAGTTATGATGTGAAAGGACAGCACCGGTACAGCTCAATCCTCCAATTCCATTATGTTAAAAGTAAGTAGGCCGTTCACTTAACTGCGAATAATTACACGGATAATGCTATCAGCGTCAGGTCTTTGACAGGCCCCAGCTTGAATTCGGCTCTGCTATTGTCAACATCTCACTTTGAGAGTCACCCCCAGACACGGACATGCTGACTATACAGTAATTATGGAGATGAGAGGGGTTTGTGCTAGTCTGTGCGAGCGGATGTGCACGTTCATACACTCACGTATCAGAGAGCCTACGTGTGTGGCAGCATGCCTCTCTGTGTGTGGATGTGGCCATAACTTGTTTTTGTGTGTGTGTGTGTGTCCACTTGTTCCTTCTTGTTTGTGTGTTTATCCGTTTTATGTTTTGAGATCACTGTGATGCACTGCCTGTGTTTGGAGCACATAAACTGTGTTTAGGAGACAATTACTGCATGAGTAATGATATAATCGTTTCATAATTACTTTAATAACCTCCCTTCTACAGCGTGTGACAGAGTGACAGTGATTTTCACATATCCTACATGAGTGATTTAATTGCAAACAAAATGGCATTTCGCGAGGATATCTCCTCACGGGTGGACACCCAAAGTACCGTGGAAGTTGAAATTCACCTTTAACTTCATATGGCCAATTGACTTTGTCACTTAAGGACAGGCTCTATTGAGTGTCTCACCTTTTTAATGATGAAGGAGGTCGGCCAGTTCATCGCAACCCTTCGGTCCAGTTGCCTACATAATGTTATCATAAAACAGTGCTTTACACGGAACCCTAAATACCCCTGTTGCCCTTCTAACTACCATGGCTGGTGTTTGCCCACAACAGGTCCCCCCTCCCCCTCCACCGAGGCACAACACTGAGCCATCTCTAGTTCGCAGAGCTTCCCTGGTTTACAAAGAAAGTCAAAGTAAGACGTGCTAAAACAACATAAACCTTGTGGTGTAAAGCCCCTCTAATGCTGCTAAAGTAGGCAATGTACCTACATGCTACAGTTTGTACCTCATAGTTTGCCACCTTTTGTCCTGAAGCTGTGTTTTCATACAGTCATTTGTGCATTTCACATTGAAGCATCTGCTGGTTGAATTCCTCCCCCCAGAATAATTGCTCAATTGCAGTTTATCAGCTGTGACTGGGTTAGTCAGGCTTTGGATTTCTTTACATGTTGATAAGTAGTGCGAATGGATGACCTTCCATTTGTCCGCTGTATTACAGAAGATAGCTTGGTATATACTGTATCTGAGCATTGCCTAAAACAATAAAAAGAAACACTGAACAAGCTGTCCTTGAAGGCGTAAGAGTTCAGGTTTATGAACCAGGTTTATGAACCTGAACTCTGTTGGAGTATGTCATAGTAATAAAGCGTTGCACCTGCAGAAGCATTAAAAAATAAAATGTGACAAATTACACATTCATTATTATCATGGTGAGAATAGTAGGAATACCTGTATTACAATGATGCTAAAGATTTTACACACCCAGCCTTTTTCTGGGACATGTAGCTTGTAGGTTTTCATAAAGTGCACATTCAGTGCCCATAAATATTCTCCTTTTAAAACCTGAAATGTTCCAACCCAAGACAGGAGTTTAAAAGAGCTAACGAAGTTGGCAAGTTAATTATCTAGTTTAATTTAGATAGTAAATGTGAAGGTTACTTGACTAGTTTAAACAGCTAATTACAAATTAATCTTAAAAACTTGACAGCTGAGAGCAGGAATGAAATGCATACTTTTGTGCAAATCTTTTGTACCACTTTTTGAGAAAATACAAGAATGTTAACAGCAGATCTGTTAGCATTAAAGGAGGAATTAAACTTAGCAACCATGGTACTAGCTGCAGGTCTGCAAGAATTTATCATGTGTAATCACAGTAAAACAAACGGTGTCAAACTATACTACCTGTAGCTGCTCATTTTCCACCTGTCGGTGCTTCCTCATTGTGAAGTATCTGTATTTGATGAACCTTAATATTATGCTGAACCCCCCTTCCCAGTGGTATGGTGTGGTGTAACAGTTCTGTGCATCGTCGCGTACACCCTCATGCCTCAGCGTTCAGGTAATGAATGCTAATTCCTCCTCCTTCATTAAGCCCTTTGCAGTTTCATATTGAAAATCTGGAGTGACTTTATCTGGACGGATGTCCAGGACTTGTATAGTGGTGTGATACAGGACTGGATGTTCACGAGTGAACTTTTTTCTTAATATCCTGATTTTGTAATGTTTTTATGTTGTGAAAAAAAGGTGCGTCCATTGTGTCCATTTTCAGTGCCTGAGTTAAATCTTACGATCTAAACACCATAACCACATAATAAACCAGTCTGTAAAGACAACAGCCCATCCAAAATGATTTATAACCACCTCATAAACCATGATATTATGTTCATAAACTCATGCACTAAAAAGGACTAAACGCTATGCACTTTTATGTGTGCTGATGAAACACTGAAAAATATTGCAAAAGGGGTCAGAAGAGACCTGATTCATTTTGCTCTCTTCAGGTAGGAGCTCTGTGTTGGCTGTGTTGGGGAGATGAGTGGATATCAGAAACACAAAGAGACACGGACACATTTCTTTTTTGCTTTCACATCTTATCCAATTTTCCATGTAAGTGCAGTGGGCTTACAGTGGTCTTAGGCATTACATGTACCCTCACAGATAGAATCAACACACTTCAAACTCCTGATTTTGCTTTTCTTGTCTCTCCTTTTTCTTCCAATCTCATACAGCCATATTCTTGTTAAATCTGTGCTACCTGGTATCTGGTAATCCTTATATTTACCAGATGTCTGTCCAGAGGCTGAATAAGCATTCTACTTAATAGACTGAAAAGGATAGGAAATATGTGACTGGAAAGAAGTAGGAGCCAGACAGACAACTGCAAGAGTCCCCATTAACCTCCATGCTGAAGATCACCTTGTCTATCCGTTCTGAAGCTAGCAGACATACTCCCGCAGTCTGAAAATAAATTTAAATTTGGCTCTGTGTTGCATATACTATTGAAAAACTCATCAGAAACACTCCTAATGTCTTTTTCAGCCTAACACAAGCATATGCACTATATTGCCAAAAGTATTCACTCAACCATCCAAATTATTGAATATAAGTGTTCCAATCACTTCCATGGCCACGGTGTAAAGTCAAGCACCTAAGCATACAGGCTGCTTCTACAAGCATTTGTGAAAAAATTGGTTACTCTAAGGCAGGGGTCTCGAACTCCAGGCCTTGAGGGCCAGTGTCCTGCAGGTTTTAGATCTCACCCTGGGTAAACACACCTGAATCAAATGATTAGTTCATTACCAGGCCTTCTGGAGAACTTCAAGACATGTTGAGGAGGTAACTTAGCCATTTAAATCTGCTGTGTTGGATCAAGGACACATCTAACACCTGCAGGACACCGGCCATCGAGGCCTGGAGTTCGAGACCCCTGCTCTAAGGAAATGGAAATGATTAGCAACTCATCTAAGAAGTGGTAGGCCAGGTTAAATCACAGAGCCAGGTGAGTGGATGCAGAGTCAGAGAGCTTCATGGAATAGGTTTCCATGGCCAAGCAGCTGCATCCAAGCCTTGCATCAACAAGCGCAGTCCAAAGCATCAGAAAGCACATAGGATGGCGCCACAGGACTCTAGAGCAGTGAAAAAATGTTCTATGGAGTTGCGAATCATGCTCTATCTGATAATCCAATGGACAGGTCTGGGTTTGGTGGATGTCAGGAGAACGGTACTTGTCTGACTGCTCTGTGCCAAGTATAAAGTTTGGTGGAAGGGGTGTTTGGTATGGTGTGGGGTTGTTTTTCAGGAGTTGGGCTTCAGTCCCAGTGAAAAGGAATTCTTAATGGTTCAGCATACCAAGACATTTTGGACAATCTCGTGCTCCCAACTTTGTGGGAACAGTTTGGGAATAGCCTCTTTGTGTTCCAAAATGACTGCATACGAGAGCACAAAGGTCTATAAAGACATGGATAAGCGAGTTTGGTGTAGAAGAACTTGACTGGCCCTCAGAGAGTCGTGACCTAAACCCGATAGAAAACCTTTGGGATTAATTAGAGTGGAGACTGGAGGCCAGGACTTCTCTCTAACATTTGTGTCAAAAATTCCCAGAAAAAATGCCTAAACCTTGAAGAAAGCCTTCCTAGAATAGTTGAAGCTATTCTGAGCTGATAACATATTAAACCCAATGGATTAAGAATTGTATGCCACTCAAATTTGTATGTATATAAAGGCCGACGAGTGAATACTAAGGGCAGTATATTGTATTCCTCTTACTTCTTTGATGCGTTGTTTAATGCAGACACATAGCAACTGCGAACGGGGTTTGAGAGTTGTACAAGTTAGTCTTAAATTGTTAGCTGTTATTTTGCTTTGTTGACCCAAGAACAGCAGTTACTGACCAGGAATCAAGTGGTTATTCTGTACAGTTACAAAGTCATCTGCCCACATATGAGAATGATATCTGCAGTGATAACACTTGTGTTACACTCTGCTGAAGTGGACAGAAAGTGGGCCTTCACATTAATGCTAATGATGAAAACAAATTCAAATCCTACTCTGTTTTAAGTACAGTAGATGCTCTGACTGGGGCCATATGGCTAGCAGATGGATGGAGTGTAGTTTCATTGTGCATTCCACAAACGAGGCAGGATACAAATGGAGTCAGTGGGGTTACTAAAAGACAGAGAGCGTGTAACACAGTATGTATTAGCATTAGTGTCTACACTAATGTTTAGATTTAGAACAGCTTCTTGGCCTCTGTCACTGTGGAGTTAGCCTGTCATTTTCTATCCATTCCACAGAGTTCAGAAGGTCATAACACAAATTTGCATGCAGTGCCCAATGATGCAGTGTTGTGCCTCGCTGTGTGTGGGATGGACGGTGGGTGTGTGAGTGTGAGAAAGAGCGCTTCCACTGCATAATGACTTGGCTGATGTATTTTTTAGCTCTCAGATGGGTTATATTTCCATCCCATCGTCTGCTGTGTTCTTGATTAAATGAAGCGTGGATTGGCTTCCCTCTCCTGATAGACAGCGAGGACTTACGCAGAACGCAGCGGGAAGGAAAAAGGAGAAGCGAGGGACAGAGACAGAGAGAAAACAAGCCTTGCTTTGTTTTTTATTTTATTTTCTTTTTTTACTGATGCTAGATCAGAGCAGGAACGGCAAATTTTCGATTATGAAAGCATGTAGCAATTCAGCCTGAAATGGCTGTAGGGACGTGTGAGAATTACACGATGAAATCCTTGTCTGTTGGGCTACATATGGAAGCATATTGGTGCATAGTCTGTCTAGGAGGATACTCCATTAGCCTTCTCCATTAAAGTGAGGTGAGACTTGGGTGCTGTCTTAGTGATATTTATTGATATTCCAGCAAGGTTTTGAGGCCACTGTAGGGAAATTTAGCCAGGGTAATGTGCAAGCTCCGGGAATGTTTCACGTAAAATGAAGATGTATAATTTTAAATGACAAAGAAGCCAATTTTTGTTGACTCAGTTAGGGCAATTTGCCTGCACTTGCAAACCCCGTAGGTCTCGATAGTCAATTTGCCAGCATTAAGCTAAGGAGTTTCAATTTCACATTCCAGCAATAAAGCAAGTCCTCCCCTCTTCTTCCTCTTCATATCTCATTCTCCCCTCTATTCGTCCTCGCAGCTTGACATTTTCCCTCTCGCTGTCTCCCTCATTTTCCCATTCCTCCCTCTAAACTCAGCCCTGGGTGTCACGTTTGAGGCATTAATTGAATAATTAATTCCTCTCATTAGCTTGTTTTTAATTATTTCCTTGCCTCCCCCTCCCCTTCTCCATGCCGAGTATAAATTCATCAGCTGTTTTCATCCTTCCACACAAATTGCCCATGAAAACTGAGCGCTTGGCGAAGTATAGCGTTAGCACACTGGCTCTATCAGTGGCTCCTAATGAGGGGACGGGTAGTCCAGGCGGAACAAGCCTTACACTGGCTTCGTGCACCAACAGGCACAATACTAATTTAGCTCATTTAGTGTCCTTGGGCCAATTAAAGGGAGGTGAAAAGGTCCAAATCACATGCTGGAACTGTTTTCTCTATAGAAGCAGTGGCCTTGGATTGCAGAGGCCCAGACAGCAGCAGCAAACCAAGCCTGTGTGTCTGATTGCTCGTTTGTTTGCAATGTGTTACACTAATGGAATTTATTTACCCTACATTCTCCAAATTTGGCTCCTTTGAAGGGCCTTATTACTTGTGACACAGATTCTTTCCCAGCTAAGGGGGTAAACGGTGCTAAGGACTGCTATGCATGGACAATTTTTGCCCCCTCCCAACCCTAACACCTAATATATTATGCCAGTGGTGAATAGGCAATCTAGATTCAGTCATTACCTTGATGATATAATGAAATAAACACACAGAAATGTTGAAACAGGCAAGGTCCGGTTCAGTGACCCTGAAGCCCACTGATAGATGCAAATGACCGTTGTATTCTGGCATCCACTCAATCTGCTCCTGCATTGTTTGATGTTACTTTCATTTTGTTCTTGTTTAACTGTGATTTCAGTTCTCTTCATGTCCAGTCACAGTTTGAGTTTATTTATGTATTCACACATGTCAAGAACCTAATTCTCAGTGTCTTTTCTTTGCCTTACTACAACATTTTATTGATTTCTCTTTTTTTTTTTTCTTCCTGTTTTATGTCCTTTGTTTGCTGACTGGGCTTTGTGTTGCATGCTTGTTGTCATGTCCCAGTTTGAATGTAGCCAGACAGTCAGCAGAACCATGGGCATCCAAGTCAACAAAGGTAAAGTTAACCCACTTACCCACAACCCACCTGTCATCTCCCAGAGACAGCCTGCCACATTGCTCACCCACACTCAGACACGATTTCCAATTCCACAGTCCAAATGAGGGGGGTTCTGAGTGGCAGAGAGTGGGCCTCATCCACCAACATTGTAGCAGAGGCTTCTAGAGATGGCCTTAGATGTTTGTGCTGTAGCGTTGTTTGAGTGCGTACCCTCCCACTGACTCCCTACGTGTTCTCTTCACTTTGCTTTGTTGTGCTTGCAGCTTGTAGCGTTTTCTACCTCATAGCTTGCCTGAAACTTTTAAGTGCAGGGCAAAATTTTCTGCTTTCTGGCTCCAACCTCTTTACCCAGCGTTAGAAGGTGTATTTGGGGTATTGCAGTGCTAGTAGCAACATGAGTTCAATTTTCCCCTGCTGTATCTGCAAAAATATAATGGAAAGTACATTTCAGGACCCCCATGATTCCTCATTAAACAGCAGTGGAGCGCTGCAGGTGAGTTGCTTTTGTGTGTTAAATTGCGAAGGTATATAAACCTGTATTGTTTGGTACAGTTGTGAGCACTGATTGTGCATAAACTCGGCTTTTAAAGGGTAGTTGTTTAATCGCAAATTGCCATTTTGATTGATGAAAGGCAGAAATATGAAGGTACTCATTATCATGACTGAAGCATGTGAGAAAACATGAGCCATAAATTCAGCCTTCAGAAATGGTCCATTAAGTTTAACCTATTGCCTAAACCCTAATATGCTTGGCTTTTCTAGTGGCTTTTGACGCATATAAATAAGGTACATCAAAGTCTTCTTGTGCACTTTGGACCACTTTCAGCATGATTGTTGTTTTTAGGGCACTCCCCGGAAGTCTCGTTATGACCAGTTGCCCTTGTGTCTCTGTAATGTTGGCTTCATGTCAAAGGTAGTTCAGTTTTCTCCCACTGAAAACGCTGCATCCAGATAAACAGAATCCACTTTGCGCTATTTCCGTACCTGGATGATTGAGCGTGCATCAAGACATGAAAGCTGCACGGTTGGTGCTGGAGAACCAGCTGTTATAACCAGTGATCATCCTCCATAAGAATTGTGGGTGGTTTAAAATAGGATTTGTTTGCTCTATGCGCAGATTTGGAGATCCATGGTGCGATCACAGTCTGTCACATCCAGGAAATAAGGGGCCGTAACAGCATCACAGTTCAATATGATTATAATGGGACTTCCTGGGAGTGATCTGAAAACAGCTAGAAAAAGTGTGGACATGCCCAAGACAAGATTTTGCTCACAGATTATATTGACATGATCGAAGAAAGAAACAGTAAATCTGACTCCTGAACAGTCGTTTTTTGACATTAAAGGGGAAGACTCTTTAATCTAACAAAGCAGCACCATTTTTGCATCTTTTTATCTAGTCACACACATCAAGACACACTTCCAAACACCCACACAAACTCTGCGAAGCTCTTCCTGAAAGAAAGCTGTGCAATTCACTATTTTATAGAGAAAGAAAAGAATAAATACGAACATAGAATTGGGTGTTTCGCAAACTTTTTGCAGAAACTTAAAACTATGTAGGATAAAAAAGAAAAGCTTGAGTCAATATGTTCGATATTAACTGCTGCTGGGAATCAATCTGGGGCCGTTCCTGAGGCGGGCTGGGAGTTAGAGTCCAAATAATGAGTCCCCACCTCAAGCTCACCGTGGCATAAACACATAGCTGTATGAAGCCGCTGATCTGTCAGCACAATAACCAAGAGAACTCCAATGCCAGACGCCTTTGAACTAAAAAAAAAAAGAAGGATAACATTGCAACGTTACAGCCGGGGAAACACGGTTTATGTATTTGAGCCAAAGGCAGAACATACAGAGTCAGCAGCGTCCACTTTATAGCCCAGCTTGAACTTTTTTTATGTGCTATGTTAACACCTACAGTGTAAAATCAATAATGCAGATAGCGAAGATAGCATTTCCTTGCACTAATAACCAGATTAGTTATCTTCTTTCAACATCATTCCAAAAACATGAGCTTCAAAGCCCTCCAGCACTGTGCAGGAGGGCTTCAAGAATGAGATTATACTCATACTCGCATCCCTTATATAGTAGTCGTAGTTACTGTTAGTTACTGTCAGCTGTGTAGCATGTAGAGTCTTTTCTTTCACTCTGTCCTCGCATTCACAGTTCACCTCTAAGCACTGACGGATCATGATATTGAAAATATAGGCTGTTCCAACACATTTCAACTGTAACCATGCTGACATTGATCACTGTCTGCACTGTTTCTGTCCATGTGTGCATGATGTGTGTGTGTGAGTGTGTTATATATATATATATATATTTATTTTTTTATTTTTTTTCGTGAGAGCTGGTGAGAGAGATGGAGACAGGGAGAGACGAGGGGTAAGGTGTAAGCTCAAAGCAACAACTGCCTGCTCACCTGATGAAGGTGTGGGAACAATGCTGTTGTTTCAGGGCAGAGTTGTCAGTGACTGTGATCCTCACCCCCCACCTCCCCCTCACCCCACTCCCTCCTCCTCTGTCCTCCTCTCTCTCTCTCCCTCTCACCCCGTCCTTGTCTTCTCCCTCCCATTTCATCACCACAGAGGGAAAAGCGATGGAGCATTTCGTCTGCCGGCGGTGAAAAGAACTCATCGAGTGTAAGTAGAGGGGGTTTCTGGCAAAGAGAGAGGGATGAGATGGGGCTCGAGGGCAAGGAGGGAACGGAGTCAGGCAGAGATGGTGAACGGGAAGGGGTAGACACGCAGTAGCAGCACAATCGCGTTAACCTAGTCTCCCAGGGATAAAGTTGGGCTTAACTGCAGCATTACCCACAGTCCTGCATTACAAAATGTTCCTTCGCCAGCATTTAGCATGCAAATTGGCTCCTAGATTATGCCTTTTGTATTCATTTTACCAACTGTCAAGCTGTGACGCAGGGAGAATGATAATCAGGCAGATATTGCCCCCTAGCGCCTCAGCAACGATCAACACACACTGCAGGGGGGGGG